GGCTTTTTGGGACCCCTCTTGGAGGGGCTGGAGTCTCCCAGGGCAGGAGAGAGGAGGGAGGAAGGGGGGAGGAAGGGGAGAGGAAGCGTATCTCTAGCGGCCGAGTCTTAAGGTGAGAGGACTTTATGAGGGCCACCGAGACCATGAAGGTCTGGGTGGGGTGTGATCTTTGGTTCCCGTTATGTGTCCCCTAAGGTTACACAGTCCTTTGAGAGTGCCCTATAAAGTCTATGCTGGGGAAGGGGAAGGGAAATAATTTTGAACCCAAGAGTCAAATCTGCCAGAGGAGGGAGTCCCTGAGGACCACCGTGGCCTTGAAAGCTGTGGTGGGGTGCTTTCCTCCCCACAGGTGGGCAGAGAGGTTTGCCGGACAATCAACGGTCAAATCCTCCTGACACCACCATTGGGTTTAGGACTCCAGGAAGGGGAAACTCACCAATCGAAGGCCGTGGTGGATGGAGTTCTGGCAGTTGAGAAAATGGGTTCAGGTTGTCCAGTGAGTGGCACTTCCGAAGGGAAAGGGACCCAAAAGTGGGTTTTCACCCACTTCCTGGGTTTTGGCACCAGATGAAAGCAAAGTGACGACACTCGGAGCGACCAAGAGATCTTAACTGAAGCAGCGAGAAAGAGGAGAAAAGAGAGAGAGGGAGCCTGGCAGGAGGAGGTTTTTATAGCCTTTCTGCTGCGCTGCCTAAATCTAACAGGGTCTCTGGGTTTGCAAGCTGCCTTGTTGGCATCTGGGGGGTTAAGTGTTCAGCCTTGAGCGGGAGGTTGACTGTTCAGCCTTGAGCAGGGGGGTGAAGCGTTCAGCCTTGAGCAGGGGGGGTTGAGCATTCGGACTTGAGGCAAACAGGCGATAAAGAACCAGACAGAGGGGGGTTTGAGTGCCCAGGTTATCCTGCAGCTAACATTCATCAACCTGCCCTGCACCTAACAAGCAAGAGATGGGGGAGCGAGAAATGAAGGACAGAGACCAGGCAGAGATCCACACGAAAGTTTATTTGTCGAAGTTGACAAACTGTATCTCTCTATAGGAGAGAGAGGCTTGAGATGCTCTGGTGTTGAGCTTTTGGGGAGTGGGGGTTTGGAGTTGTAGCTGTGGTACTACGGGATGGGCTTGGGTGCTTGCATCAGAGCTAGGCGGGTGGGAATAGCATGGCATTAGCTCTTAGGGTTATGGGACCATGGGGTAGGTCACTAATGGGGGTGGGGGGAGTTCAGGGAAAGGAAGTACAGGGAAGTGAAACTTATAAGATGGCCACTCGAATGTTAAATCAATACCCTAAAGTATCTATAATTAAAGATGGAGCTACTGAGGAGGCAGAAGGTGATGGTCTCAATAGCTAGGCACAATGGCACTCGCCTAAAATCCCAGTGACTTTGGAGCCAGAGGATCACAAATTCAAAGCCAGCCTCAGCAGCCTGGTTAGGTCCTAAGCAACTTGGCAAGATCCTAATTCAAAAAATTAAAAGGGCTGGGGATGTAGCTCACTGGTAGAATGCCCCTGGGTTCAATCCACAGTAGCAAAAAAAAAAAAAAAAAAAACAAGTGACAGTCTAAATGTTTAAAAGTGCTCTCATTCACATGTAGAATCTAAAATGGTTGGTCTCTCAGGATTCGAGAACAGAATTGTGGTCCTAGAGGGTGGGAGGGAGGCTGGTCCACTTACTAAGTTACAGGTACACAGGAAGAGTAAGTTCTGGTGTTCTGTTTATTTCTAAGATATTGGTTGTGGAACTGGTGCCCTCTAAAGCAAAGAGGGTATGTGAGAGTGACAATAGCTAACAATGATGTGTATTTCAAAATATATGAAAAAGAGGATTTTGAATATTTTCACTGCAAAGAAACGATGTTTATAGTGATGACTATGCTAATTGCCCTGATTAGATCATTACACAGTGTAAACATGTATTGAAACATTATACCGCATCTCATAAATATGTATGATTTTTATGTACCAAGCAAGAATAAAACTTTAAAAAGCTTCAAGTCAAAAGAATCTGGCCATGTCTCTGTTTGCATTACCTCTTAGAACTCGATCACATGGTAATTATTTCTAAGATGTTGGTTGTGCAACTGGTGCCCTCTAAAGCAAAGCATTGAAAGAATTATGAAACCCGAAAAATAGCATCCACAATCTTGTTAAGCCTCAGATTTTAAATTTGTGAATTCACTATTAATAATGATATGGTCTTATTGATTTGGGGACTTCTTTATGAAAATTGTTATGTGATTGAATTGGTGCTCTGTGTGGTATGGAGTAAGACAAAGAAAAGCCCCTGATATCTAAGGTCATCAGTTATGCCCGAGGACAGGCCTGCAGCTCCACAGTGCTAAAAAATAATGTTACAAGATGGAAGGGCAATCATTTAAATGAATTATCCTTAGGTACAAGTTCATATATGAGAGTGCACATATGTTTGTTACCTAAGAAAGTTGCAAAATAAATTGCAGACACCTGTAAGATTTATTAAAAATCTCAGCATGCATACTATTCATTGCCTGAAGTTCAATATTTTTGTATTATTTGCAGATTTTTTTCTTCAGAGGTGACATTTACACATAAGGAAATGTATAAATCTTAATTAAACACTCACTGAGTTTTGATAAAAGCATACATCTAAAATCCTACTAAAATATTGAACAATACTGTTCTATGAAAATATAACGTGAGCTACAAATATAATGTTAAATCTTCTAGTAGCCAAGTAAAGGGAAACTGATGAATTTTATTAACTAATATATTAGCTAAGCAAAAAAAAAAAAATATTAGCATTCAACATGTAGCCGATAGTAAAATGTTTTAATGAGACATTTTACATTTTTTCTTCTCCATGAAGGCTTCAAAACCTGGTGTGTATTTAACACTTAGAACTCATCTGCTTTCAGGCTGGTCACGTTTCAAATGCTCAGGAGGACTTGGGGCTGGCGGTCCAGTGTTGGACAGGGCAGATGTAGAATGTTGCCATTCCCTAGGGAGGGCCCTCATGCCCATTTCGGTCATTCCCCATTCCCACTGTATGCAGAGAGATTTTCATGACTCCCCCCAACCATGGTTCAGTTCTGCTTGTCCCAGCATTTCATATAAATGGAACGATACTGTACAGAGGTAGTCTTTTTGGCCTGGCTTCTTTCACTCTGCATTCTATTTCTGAAATCTGAATTTCATGTTCTTGTCTCTATCCATTTATTCTTTTTTTAATGTTAATGATTTTTTTAAATTGACATATAGTAATGGCTCATATTTATAGGGTACTGTGTGATCATTCAGTATTGGCCTATCTCATGCTATGCTGCTATTGACAATGTCTAAGAGCTCAGCTTCTTCGATGCTTGTCATGATTGGGCTTTTTAATTTGAACTCTTTTGATGAGCCTATACATTGGCATCACACGTTTCAGCATGCATTGTCCTAGTGACTCAATATATTGCATACCATTTCACATGGTTGTTGTATCTCTTTTAAGAAGGGTCTGTTCCTAAGCGTTACACTCATTTTTTTGAAAATTGGGCTGTTTGCCTTTTTATTAATGAGTTCTTTACATGTCCTAGATCCCAGCTCTTGGTTAAACATGCTTTACAAATATACTTTTCCCAAGCTGTGGTTTGCTTATTGATTTCTTCATGCTCTTTTTTGGATAACAGTGGTTTTAAATTTTGTTGAAGTCTCACTTATTAATCTTGTACATGTGTTGCATTTTGTTCCTAAGAAATCTTTGCCTACTTCTAGCTTCAAAGCTACCATAATTTTTTTTTTTTAAATGAAAGTCTCGTGAATTTGGATTCTATGACTCATTCTGGATGAATTTTTGTGTGTTATGGGAAGGGGTCCACTCCTGTCCTTTCTGTGTTCCTGCCTGCCTGCCTCTTTCTGTATGGCTATCCATCCAGTTGTTCCAGGACTATCTGTTGAAGTTTGTTTTCCTACTGGGTTGCTGTGTTGAAAATCAAATGGACGCCTATATCTGTGTGATTCTGTTTCACTGATGATCTCATGGCTATTTATTCTGAATCACAGTGTTTTAATAGCTATAATTTCGTAGTAAACCTTAAAATAATTCATTCTAAGAATGTGGCTCCTTTTTGGTAAGATTAGATATTCTAGATCCTTTGTATCTTTATATATATTTCATAATTAGTTTGTCAATTTCTACCAATAAAAACCTACTTGATGATTAGGATTGTATTGAATCAATAGATCTGCTTGTAGGGAATTAATATCCTGCCAATTCTTTTTCATCCAGAAACATGATAAAATTTATATATTTGTTTACCTATATCTTATACTCCTAGAGAAACATTTGCACTGTTTAGCATATATGTTTTGCAAATACTCTGTTAAATATAGTTGTAGATATTTTACAAGTTTTGATACTGTAGTAAATGGAAGTTTAAAAACGTATTTCCCAATTGATTTTTGCTAACATAAAAGCAAACTGATTTTTATACAGTGATCATATGTGCCATGATCTTGATACATTATCTCATTAATATGAATAGTTGAAGATGCCTGAGGGTTTTCTATACAAATAATACTACAATTAATCATACCATTTAAAAATATAGACCATTTTATAGTTTTCATATCTTTATGCCTTATATTTCTTTGTTTTGCTTCTTGGACAGGATATATGATAATAAACTGATGAATTAAAATTCACAAATTGGTTTTAAATTTTGTCAAAAATATTTTCTGTATTTATGGAAAAGATTGTGTATGCATGTATGTGTATAAATCATGTGTCTACAAATCATTATATTTAAATCATTCGTTAAAAACCTGCATAGACAAAGCACTAATGAACAAATTTAGGAAACGGTTGCTTATTCAATTTACCTTTAACCCACCACCATTCCCATGATGCCAAGCAGCTTTTGCACAAGATCATCTTGTTCCTGAGAGAGATGGGCTCAGACACAAAACTTCTGACTTTAAACTCCTGTTCTTTCAGTGGCCCCTGTGTCCTCAGACTAGTCAAACAAAGATTTTTTGTGAGAATATTTTTGGTTTTTTTTCTTTATTTTTAGGGGTTAAAATGCAACATACTCATGCTACACGACAATGAAAACTGAAGAGACAAGAGTCAATATGAACTTTTGAGATGGGAAGAAACATACATTGGCATTTTCCAGCAACATAAGATTTCTCAATTTACACAATTTGAGAAAATAGTTGGAAAGTCCCTGAAAGAAAATATGTTATTTTTAAAATTAGGTATGTATATATAAAACTGTTAAAATCCTTGAAAGGAATGCTTTAAACCCAAGTTATTTTATTTTTTAGTGTGACATATTTATGGAAAACAGTTGAAAAAAATGTCTGTCAGGGGACTCTTTAATCTCATAATATATTGACTATTTAGGCAAGTAATATCTATGTGAAAAAATGAAGGGACATCTTATTCTCATGTTACTTTTCAGCCAAATGAATTATGCGGACAACAGTTGTAAATGTCTGAAAGAAAAGATGGACATTCCTGCTTCTGAAAACCTGCATTTCCACCTGATTAGAAACACAAGATAATCAGTGAGGGACCATGGATGATCTCAGAGTATACCACAGGTCACAGTTACAGAGTAGTTGGTTTTAAACTTTGCTAAAAATATTTTACATCATTAAATGCATATTAATAAATGCACATTTAAAGCTAACTGAAGTGACTTAAATAATATGACTAAGACAGTTTGTAACAAAAATTGTTAAAGTCTATTAGTTTTTTCCCCAAGAAAAGCAAGTGAGGTAGTTTATACTGTATATACATCGTAAAGAACTGACATTCCAGTTTGTTCAAAGATCATGTTCCCAAGTGAGCTTTTACAGAATGAAGGAAACAATGAGCCAGATCTAAGAATAAGTGCTCCTAAACATTAACTTCCTGTAATTACTTTCCTGGACGATATTATTTTCCTTACTGTGTACCAAGAACATTTGGGATGGGGTGAGGGTCAGAACGGTATTTACAAGCCAGTCATCTGACTTTCCTTTGGTTTTGACTATTCTTTTTTACACACTGTTTACTGAACTTTTCTAAAAACAACTTTTGCTAAGGCAAAAGATTTTTCAATACTTAAGATGATAGGCATTTTTGAATTTAAGGATGGTTATAAGTTGGGATAAATCTGAACACATTTAGAATCTTTGTGTGAGACCTAATGTACTTTCAGTCAAAAGACATGAAAACTTCAAAATAAGACATTAAATGAATAGATCTGTGAATTCTCTATATAAACACAACAGAATTTAACTGTTCTAATGAGAGGAAATACAATGAAAAAGATCAGTTTTCAGGTATATAGATGTGTAGGGAAGCTACTGGAAGTTTCTTCCATGTGTGGGCATAAATTACTTCTATCTGATGTCTTGGGATTTGGCAATTACCTAAGGTGAAACGTTTACTTTTGTTATTTGAATTGCAAAAATGATAAAATTATTTTTCCAGACTCTGGAAATTCGTTATGTAAACTCACATACCATTAGCCATACATTGAAAACTTTGAAATGTAGGAATGAATAGAAACCACATATACGGTTTAGTTTCTAATGGTTTTCAGATAAAGAAAATAAAAATTAAAGTCAAATGAATGGATCATTGTTTCTCCTATAAAAGCATAACAAAATTCTGCAGGTTAGAAATGCAATTATCTACACGCTGAGTATAAATAATGTTTTTTGTAGACGTCAAGGCATAATGTAGCATATAAAAGATTTCTTCCATATATGCACTTTGAATGTTACAACATTATGTTTGAGACTTGATAAATAAATAACAAACGTTTTTCTGTATTTGTGATTCAGCTTTGAATCATGAGAATGTGGCTTGGGCCTTAAATCTTATTTAATCTGATACAAATCCATCAAAACCTCAATCTGAATTCTGAGTTAGAGTATGTGTCTGGGATAAATGAGAACTCTGTCCCCATTTCAGGCTTATCCCTAAGAGGACCCTATCTGCAATCTCAAGATGAAAGGCAGCACTATCCAATCCCTCAGCACATTTCAGATTTGTTCTAAATTAGAAACACGAGGACTGTGTGTTCTGGCCAATCTCGAGTCTGGAAAATAGCTCTGTGAGATCTTGATAGCGGGGGAGTTCTCAGCGCACCATCTGATCATCCGATTCTATGGCCCTATGCTAACCCACAGTGCTTAGCCATGTCTATGATTAATAAATAAAAGCAAAGTCTTTTGCAGCTTATAAAACTGGATCTAATAGTATTTTTCAGCACTCTTGGATAAAGGCAGGTCTGTGTTTTTAGGTTGTTTGATCAAAAAAGGAAATTGTTGCCTGGCATATGAGAGGATTTCATTGAGCACCATAACCATGATGAGAAAAGACTCTGTGCCTGCTGACAAAAACAAAGGCTTTTGTTTTATGCTCTTGCAGAGCAGAAGATACTCTTTGTCAAGTTGAGCTTTACAATGGGGATCTGTGCTCATAAGACAATAAACTACAAAATATTTATTTTGGAGCCAGGTGCAGTGGCACACTCCTATAATCTCAGTTATTCAGGAGGCTGAGGCAGGAGGATGGCAAGTTAGAGGCCAGCCTAGTCAACTGAGCAGAACCCTGTCTTAGGATAAAATTTAAAAAAGGGGGTGGGGGTATAGCTCAGTTGTAGAGCAAATACCTAACATGTGAGGTCCTGAGTTCAAGCCCCAGTACCAGAAATAAAAAGACAAAAAAATACCAATTTTCAATATTCAGTAACAGAGAATTGTTCATTTGCACCAGGAAGTTAAGGGTTATCAGGTAGCATGGCACAACATATTTAACACCACAGTTTTCTTTAGACCAAAGGTCCTCCTCCCCCAATTCAGAGACAAGTCAGAGCATTGATAAAATGTGTCACTTTATAAACCGATTCTCTTTGGAAAGTAGATCTAGATTATTTTGTAGGGCAGAAAGTAAGGCTATTTCTGGCATTCTCGCTTAAAAGAGGTCAATATATGTATAAACACAAATATAAAAAAGGGTCTTTTTCACTTCTTATGCTTGGTAGCATTGGCTACATCAAGAAGTGTTGCTGATCCCCAGGTACAGGACCAAGTTCATTTCTGCTGCAAAGTTGAATACTAGAAATGATTAGAGTTCTGTATTCTCCATTGACCTTTCTTCTGGAAGCATCACATCTGCTTTCCTTTTATCAAGGAAACGTGATGAAGGTCAGCTTAAGTGGTGAACCAGCTCCTCTTCCATAGTTCAAGCGGACAAAGCTGGAGATACCACTCCTTGAGAAACACAACAGGGTTATGGGAACAAACATGTCAAGGCAATCTTATTTTCCCCCACAAAATGTAGGATCTTCTTGGCATAGAACACAGAATAGCAGCCATCTTCAAAGACTCGCTTGGGGCTTAATCACCCATTCTGCATGAGGATTTACATGATATACATCCAAAATATATGCATCTGGATCCAAGCAATGCTGTCCTAAAGATAAAGAGAAAGTCAAAGAATGTTTTCAAGAGGGCAACTTCTATCTGTGTACACGCATGCACATTCATATGTGAGTAAGGTTCAAATCAGGCCAATAGTTCTCAGCCCGAAGTGTATATATTTCGAAGTTTCATAGCAATGCTTCCCTCCTCTTCCCTCCTTCCCTCCATTTCTAAGACTGAAATAATTCAAAAGGATCTCATATAGATTGTGGAGAAACAGACATACCCTCCAGAGGCACACTTTCTCTAGCTTCAACATGCACATTAGAAAAACCAGGCAAGAACTCCTTTCAGGTATAAGCTGACCATTTATATGCTAATATATATCCTCTAATGCTTTTACGGACAGTAACTTGAGAAGGGCAGAGAAGATTCAAGGCAAGCTTATTTTAGGAACTGGACATTTTGTTGCTTTGTGGAAGTCATGCCCAAAAGCAAGAGAGGAGTGGAGTGCCGGGCACTATTCTAAGGCTGGGGCAGTGCACTGGATGTTCACAAACACTTGCCCTTGGGTGCTTATGTAGCAGATAAACATGTAAAATATAAAGTCAATCCAGTGGTGATAAGAATATTAGAGGAAAACAAAGCAAGGCAGGCACAGGGAGAGGGTACAGGAGCCAGGAAGACCTCACTAGAAGAGTCACCAGCCTAGACACGGAAGAAGCGAGAGGGAGAGGAGGATGTCTGAAATGGGGCATCCTGGGTAAAGCCACAGCAAGGACAGAGTGCCAGGCAAAGTGAGCCTGGTGACTCAAGTTTGGGGGCCAAGGAAACACCTGGTCAGATGAATCAGCCCTCAGGTGTATTTAAAGCCATGAGGTGGGCTGAGAGTACTGTGTGAGAATGCTGAGGATTCTAAGGAAGTTTGTCAAAGAGAAAGAAGACTTCGGGCAGTCCAAAAGACAGAAGGGACGACTGGATCTCATGGCCTAAGAGTTCTCTGGTGGCCTTGACAAGACGGCGATTTTGGAGAAGTACTGGGGAGGTGGGGGGAGGCTTGACAGGAGTGGTTTCAAGAGAAAACAGAAGAAATAGGAGTGCAGAGGACTGACTGATGGAAGGGGTTCGCTGTACGTGGAACAGAGAAACGGGAGTGGACCCGAGGGGGGTCAAGAGAGAATTCCATAGACGTGAGAGAAATGACCGACCATTTTTTAATTCCAACAGAAACGATGCCATTGGGAAGGAAAAGTGGAAGATGCAGGATAGAACCGAGGCTGACTGGAACAAGGCCCTGACCAGACAGGACCCCCTCAGGAAAGCCAGGAGGAGGCACGCAGGCCACAAGTCAGGGCACAGACAGGTGCATGGAGCTCAGAGGACGTGGACAAAGGCACAAGGAGAAGGGATTTTCTTTGGATCCAGTCCTATCAGGGAAATCAGTAAGTGAAAGATCCTGGGCTCTGAGCTAAAATGGGAAAATTGAAGAAAAAGGGTGTCATGCTTCTTCTCTCAGTTCTCAGTGCCCTTTGTTTTGCATGAACCTCAAGAGAGACTAGACCTAAGTCTGTTCCACATCCACACTAAAATAGTCTCACTTAAATTTTAGAATACTGTAGACAGGTCATGCACCTGTTTTTTTACATACGATTAAAAAAATGAAAACTGATTTTGACTTCTTATCCAAAATAAATAGACATAACACATAAAATATACCTTTATAATAACAATATTTCTTTTAGGATAGTCAGAGAATTTAGAAGCAGAAATTATTAAAGAATGCTTACCTATATTTCCTCCAATTTCATATAATCTTTGGTTCTGAATCTTAATACACTCTGATGAACCATGACTAAAAATAGAGAAAGCAATATAATTTTAACTCTCTTTCTTGATTTGAGGTAAATTTGCATATTAGAAACATGAAAACAAACAATTCATTCTGTCTTGATGAAATAAACTCCATAAAATCATATGACAGCTAGAGTCATGACAAAAATAATTTTTTTTTCCCTTTTTGACACAGATAAAGAAGTTGAAGTCCAGATAATTTGGGATGATTCCAAACCAAGATGGCATGCTCAGTGGCCTACACCAGAGAGAGCCCATTCTAGCCACAACTGTCAGCATGCTATTAGGGAGAGAACGGATGCTGACACATCGAGGCTGGCCAGGGAGCAGCTGCGTGTTTAATAATCATTTGTTGGCCACAATTCAAAAGTCAAGTTTCATTTCTATATTTGCCCAAAATTGAATGACATTCTCTGCTCAGCCCATGTCACATTTCTACATTTTGCAAAGTAAGGTTGACTTCTTTGTAAGTCTGCCTATAATAAAAGCAAATCAGAAAAAAAACAATTGCCCAATTCAATTTTTCTATCCCAGACTTGAATGCTGGGATAGAATAGCCCAAAAGACCAGGGCTGGTCTCCATGCGCTCCAGGAACCACCTGGGGCATGGCTACTTCTGATTGCCCTCGCCTCTCTGTTGTGAGGAAGGAGGATGAGTGCCCTCTTCTATTTAATTAACTTTATTTGAGATAATTGTACATTTTCATTTAGCTGTGAAAAAAATAATAAAGACAGATCCAGTGCACCCTTTGCCCAATTTCTCCCAATAGTACCGTGTTGCAAAATTTGAGGGCAATTCCACAACCAGAATGTTGACCGTGGTTCAGTCAAAGCACAGAACATTCCCATCATCACAGGCTTCCCTCCTGTTGCCTTTTTATAGTAACATTCACTTTCCTCTCCCTATTCTACCCTATCCCCACCTCACCCCTGGCAACCACTATTCTAGTCAGCATTTCTACAAATTCACAATTTCATAAATGTTGTCCAAATGGAAATATACAGCATGAAACCTTTTTGTATTGTTTTTTTTTTTTTTTTTCCTCCCACTCGGCATAAATCCTGAGATTCACCAAGTTGTTACATTTTCCTTGCTGAGTCATATGCCCTCCCTCGTGTGCATGTATCACAATTTGTTTGGTCATCCACCTCTTGAAGGACATCTGGGTTTTATCCAGTTTTGACTATATCAGTAAATCTGCTGTAAGTATGTGTGTACAGGCTTTTGTACGAAAACAAGACTTCATTTCTTTGGGATAAATGTTCAGAAGTATAAATGCTGGATATTCAGCTGAATATTTAGTTTTATAAGAAATTGCCAAACTGTTTTATGGTGTTACTGAACTATTTTACATGCCTGCCAGCAATGTAGGGGTGATCCACTTTCTATCTTTGTCAGTATTTGGTGTTGACACTATATGTTAGCCATCTTCACAGGTATGTAAGAATGTCACTGTTGTTCTAATTTGTGAGCATCTTTTCACATGTGTATCACCTGTATGTCTCTACCATGGTTCCAGGTGTACCCAAATGCCCCTGTGTTAGAGGCTTAGTCTCCAGCGTGGTGCTATTGGGAGGTGAAGGAAACTTAAGAGGTAGGGGCTAGTGGGAGGTCCTTAGGTAATCCCTTGAAGAGATTATGGGACCCCAGTTTCTTCCTCTTCTTTTTGATTGCAGACCAACAGTTTTGCTCTGCCATTGGCCACTGATATGTGCTGTCATGGGCCTAAAAGCAATGGGGCCAATCAGTCATGGACCAGAACTTCCAAACTATGGGCCAAAAGAAACCTTTTCTTTCTGTATGTTGATTTTTCTCAGGTGTTTGTGACGGCAACAGGAAGCTGACTTCAAAATTGGTTTGATAAAATGTATGTTCATGTTTTTTCTGCCTTTTCAAATTGGATTGTTTGGGGTTTTTACTGTTTTGAGAGTTTATGTATTCTAGGTACTAGTCCTTTGTGGAATATGTAGTTTGCACATATTTTCTCCCAGTCTTTTGCATGTCTTTTCATCCTATTCCTAGGGTCTCTCAGAGAATAAGTTTTCAATTTTGATGAGGTCTAATTTATCAATTTTATTTCTTGTATATCATAGTTTTGGTGTCAAGTCTAAGAACTCTTCACAGTCCTGGGTCACAAACACTTTCTCCTATGTAATTTTTTTTTTTTGTGTGTGTGTGTGTGTGATGCTGGGGATTGAACCCAGGGACTTATGCATGCAAGGCAAGAACTCTACCAACTGAGCTATATCCCCAGCCCTCCTATGTAATTTTCTAAAAGTTTTATAATTTTACATCACATATTTAACTGATCCATTTTGAGTTAATGTTTGTATGATGGGTGAGTTTTAGTTCAAGGGTTTTTTTGTTTTGTTTTTAACTTTTGCCTATGGATGTCTAATTGTACCATTTGTTGACAAGGCAATCCTTTCTCTCTTGAGTTACATTTGTACTAGTTTCTAGAATAGTCAAATTCATAGAGACTTAAAGTAGAAGATTGGCTACCAGTGGCTAGGAGCAGAGTGTACCAGTTCAGTGGTATTAAATATATTCATAATGTTGTGCTACAACTACCATCTACAGTAATCATTTCATCATATAAAACTGAAAATCTATGTCCATTAAACAATAACTTCCCATTGCCCCCTCCCCCTAGCAACTGTGATTCTACTTTCTTTCTCTATGATTTTGAACACTAACTAGCTCATAAAAGTAAATCATATAGTCTATGTCTTTTTTATATTTATTTTTTAGTTTTAGGTGGACATAATATCTTTATTTTATTTTTATGTGGTGCTTAGGATTGAACCCACTGCTCCACACATACTAGGTGAGCACTCTACCACTGAGCCACAACCCCAGTCCCACTATATGTCTTTTTGTGACTGGCTCATTTCACTTAGCATAAGGTCCTTAAGCTTCATTCATATTGTAGTATTTGTCAAAACTTCCTTAAATTTAAGGTTATTTATATAACATCGAATAGTAAATAAAGTGCTATTTTCATCATACATCTTAAAGGGTGACTTAAACATGACTAATCACTGTTTATCTTCATTATGTGCCTTAAAGCAGATTTGTAAATTGAAGAATTGCTTTTTCCCTCCTTATGTATTGTACACTTTAGAAGGAAATCATTTTAAGTAGACCATTTTAAAGTTGTGGAATCCCATCATTTTAAAATATAATTGTCTTATATGCATTCTGTACACATATTGAATACCATATTAGATGGTATGAGCTTTGCCTCCACCATCACACAATTTAAGAAATACATGAGAAGTTGGATAGTTTATTATATTTAGCACTATTTTTTATCCATTGTGATGTTCTCCTTTCCTTTCTTATGTTTCAAGCCTTGTTATCATTTCTTTTCTGTTTAAAGAACTTTATGAGTAGGCTTGTTGAGAAAAAACTATTAAGTTTTCTTTCATTGGAGAAAGTCCATCTTTCCTCCTTTCTTGAACAATATTTTTGAATATAGAATTGAAAATTGATGGATCTTTTCTTTCAGTACTTGAAAAATGTTATTACATGTCTGACTTTCAATGGTTTTAGATGAGAAATTCACTGTGATCTGAGTTGACATCTCCCTACAAGAAATCATTTCTCTTTGATACTTTCAAGATTAACACTTGGTCTTTAATTTTTACAAGTTTAATTATGCTGTGTTGGCATGAATTTCTATAGCTTACCCTTTTGGTTCACTCAGCTTCTTGAGTATATAGGTTTATGTCTTTGCTGATTTGGGAAGCTTCCTATCATTACTCCAAATACTTTTCTGGTCTCACTTTGTGTCCTCTTCTTTTGGAATAATGACCATAGGAAATTTAGCTCTCATTATAGTCCTGGGCAGGTTCTTGGGGCTATTTTTTCCCTCAGTATATTTTCTTTTTGTTGTTCAAAATAAATATGCTTTATTGATATGTTCTTAAGTTTTCTAATTCCATCTTCTGTTACCTCACTCCACTACTGAGCCTATCCAGCATATTTTTATTTCAGTTATTGCATTTTTCAGTTCTATAATTTCCATTTGGTTCTTTATGTTACAACATCTATTTCTTTGCTCAAATTTTCTGTTTTTTCATATGTTCTAAGAGAATTCATTAATTGCTTGTTGAAGCGTTTGTGACAGTTGCTCTAAAACCCTTGTCAGATAATTCTAAAAGCTAATTGTTTAATGTTGGCATCTATTGTCTTTTCTCATTCACCTTGTGATTTCCCCTGTAGTAATGGTTTTGTATTGTATTTGGGATATTACATTGTGAAACTCTGATCTCCGTTTTCCAGTAGGCAATCTTCCTGTTGAGGTTTAGCATGGATCTAGGTGGACACATGTATGTATGGCCTCTTGCTGCGCTCCATTTGGGGTGTAGATGAGCTTCCTGCCAGGCTTTGCTGACATTAGGGCAGGAGTAAATAGACGCTGACAGACCACTTTGTTGCTGTGGTGGAGGGTGAAGCTCAGTTTGTCACAGGTGTCCAGTGACAACAAAGGAGAGGGGGTTGGAAGCAGAGTATCTGCCATTCCTATTTCTTACCACCGTTTTACCAGATGTTAGATGGAGACTCAACTTCCCACTGGGCCTGGCAGATATCAGTAGGGGCAGGAGAGAACAGGGATGCTTGACTCAACCTGTCTGGTTCCATTCTTTTGATTGGGGGTGGGGGGAAGCTCAGCTCCCCACTGGGCACTACTGACACTGAGGAAGGGAATGGAGATAACCTGCCTAGTGCTGCCTCATTGTTGTTCCTCCCTAAGACTCACTGCTGCTGCAGGGAGGTGGATGTTCGGCTTACTACAAGACCTTGATGGTGCAGACACTATCCTGAATCAGGAATTGGAATTACTCTCTGGTTCTGTTGAACAGGGGATGGGAGAGCTGTTTCCCTCTTGGTCCCACTGAAACCACAAGTGGCAGTGGTATGACTCTTCTGATGATGTTTGGTTGGAGTAGAGGAGGTATTGCCCAAAAGGCTCTCTGTGGTTAGGCACCCCATTCCAGGTCCTTTGGTTATGGGAACAAGCTCTTCTTGGAGTCCTATCAACTGCTTGAGGTGAGATCTAGGCTGCAGGCTTCTGCAGGGCCTGTCTGGCATATGTGGGAGGCAATAAGGAAGCTCTCAAAACCATGTTGTTCTTCTGGACCTCTTCTTTCCACCTTTCAGAGTCCTTCTCTGATTGCTGTGTTAGTTTAAGAGGGAGGTCCTAGGAGGAACAGCACTCCTTCCCACTTTTGGTGTATAAGCACAAGGAGGAATGAATAGAGAGAAAATAAGCCTCTGGTATAATAGACCAAATGGCATCAGTTTGCAGTTTTTAAATGGAGATATCCATAGCTCTAATGGAAGAACAGACAAGACAAGATCTTTTGAAGAAGTTGTTTCAAAGGATTTGAGTCTATTTGTAGTCATTGGTTCTCACTTGTTTTTATTAGAAACATTTTTTTTCCACAAAAAGTCTACTTGAGAGTACTGAGGCAGTTTTGTAATATATGAAAGAAAGTAGGAACCTATTGGATGCTCAAGTACCTGGAATGCTATTTCAAGTCTTTGTATGACTTCACAGGAGGTAATTCTATGGTATCTTAAGTGCCTGGAACCGCAACAGAGAGAAGTAAACATTCAGGACTCTTGTTAACTTCTGTCTACTCCTCTTCTCCTTTTTAGTATAAGCTTTTACATATATGTGTGAGTCTGTATGTGTGTGTGTGTGCAAGCATGCACATGCATACATAGAGTGCACAAGTCACAAATATGACCTGATGAATTTTCAAAGTGAGCGTACCATGAAGCCAACACCCATGTCTAAAAAAAGGATTGGAGGCCTCCCACTTTCTTTCTCATTATGCCTTTGCACTGCCACCATCCTAACTTCTAATATCACAGATGACTTTCACTGGCTAGCTACTCTTGTTTATTCTTTTAACTGAAATTTTTATTGAAATAATTATAGCTTCACATATAGTTGTAAGAAATGATGGATTCTTTGTACTCCTGCCCAGTTTTCACCAATGGTAACATTCTGCAAAACTACAATAAAGATATTAATGTTGATAAAATACATCTATCTCATTCAGATCTAGCAGCTTGACTTGTGCTCATTTTGTGTGAATTAAGTTCAATACAATGTTATAGAGGTTTGTTGACCCACCAACACCACAGTGGAGTCCAACAGCACAGTTCCAATTCCACCAGCATCCTTCATGATGCCCTTTCCCTCCTATGCCCATCTTCCTCCCACAATCATCCCAAGTTAATGGCAGCTATTAATTTATCCTCCATTTGTACAATTTTTCATTTCAAAAATGCTATATAAACGGAATCATACAACATGCACACTTTTAGAATTGGCTCTTTCTGGTCAGCACAGCTACTCCTTTGAAATATAAGTGAAATGCTTTTTAAGGATATCCATGAGTTTTAGTAGAGACCAACAAACGATATATATGCTACTTATCATTCGAAAATCTCAAGGCAAATGTTTATACTTGAGTAAGCATTCCTATACAAAAAGGATTATGATTTATGCTCTTTTATGGTTATTGATGGCAGATACCTAAATCTAAATATCATTCTTAGTCTAAAGATTATTCGTAATATATTTGTATGTTTTCAGGAAAGAAACAACTGTGATGCCCATGAGGAAGTCTAAAGTAATGATATTCCTGTAAAACTATCAAGAGAGCTACAAAACTAGCTTGCTGTATTTTTTTTCATTCTAATAAAATGTACAATTCCACTAAATAAATGAAGTGACTAAGATAAAGAGTACCTCGCAAGAATCCCATTTGTAGAATTCCTTTAAAAAACGACTTTTGTATTTGCCTTTTCTCTGCTTTTAACTTTTATAGTCTTCTGGTAAAATTCCCAAAATAACAGTTCTAATTTTTCAAAAGGCAAAGGTTATAGGTGCCTAGAAATTTACTCATCTGATGCAAATCCCTCTTCCTTGTGAAGTGACCTTCCTTCACACTCACTCACCTGTTTTCATATTGAAATTTCGCCAATATGTCTTTGGCTTTAGTTTCACTATTCAGTTGAATGGCCATGGACACTTTAGAGAGAAGAGGAGCATGGACCCTTATGACTCCTTCTGGCACGTCAGACTGTCAATGAGGGAAAATTCAGTACATTGTGTCAAATTAGGATGAATTATTAGTTCAATGACTGCATTTAAGAAACATTAATTAGAAATCAAGTAATCAGAATTAGAAATTCATGTCAATATGACCAACATTTAATCAGAATAGAGCACTGTTTTCTTTTTAACCAAGAGAATAACTAATGACCAAACTTAGTCTGGGATTTTACTTTCATTAATTACACACATAGATGTCAAAATCATGAAAAGAGGGTTGGGGCTGTAGCTCAGTGGTAGAGCACCCGCCTCACACGTGTGAGGCACTGGGTTTGATCCTCAGCACCACAGAAAAATAAAGATTATTGTGTCCAACTACAACTAAAAAAATATGAAAATAAAAATAAAACATTTTAAAAAATAATGAAAAGAGTAAAACTGGCTTTTGACAAAAAAACTAATGTTTCCATCAATGTCTTTATTGAACAATGACCTAAATAAGCCTATTTTAAGTACAATTCAACATTTAAAATACTTTAAGAAGCCAAATTTCTGAAAATTTTAGTAATAAATTCTCAAATACCCTCTTTTCTTAAGTGGCCATGAATGGCCAGCTCAAATAAAATTCTACGTGGGCACTTGAAACTAGCCTGCAAAGCATGTAGCTAACCCTGTACAGAACAGAATGTGACTATGTTGAGGAAGAAGGTGTCTTTGCTTTTGAAGGATGTGATTAGCAGATCTTGGGGCTTTCAGCTAAATGAAATATTCAAAGGGTTGTGCTGCTGTTTGATTAACAGAAATTTCTGTCTTGTCAGAGTGGAAAATTCCATTTGCTTCAAAAAATTTTTACTCTTTTAATAATTATGTAGCTGAAGAGAAATAAATTTCCACTTGCAAATCTATTCCTCGGGTAATTGTTCTAAATTTCTAACTTCTTAAAGGATGGTACTATTGATAAAAGAAAGTGCATAGGAATTGACTCATTACATACCCTAGAATAACAACATAATAGGCTGAACTATTTCCCTAGAAATCATATTTGAAGTCCCAGATCCAAGACCCTCAGAATGTGATCTTACTTGGAAATAGGGTTATTGAAGATGTAATTAGTTAAGATGAAGTCAAACTGAAGTAGGTGGGCTTGTAGTCCAATATGACTTATGTCCTTTTCAAGAGTGGAAGAGATTTGTTCCTGTTAACCCTAGCCACATCAATGTTTATACAATTCACAATAACTAAACTGGGGAACCAAACTAGGTAACCTTCAAGTAGATGAATGAATAAAGAAACTGTGTGTATAATATTACTCAGCATTAAAAGAGAATAAAATGGCATTTTCAGGTAAATGGCTGGAGTTAGAGCTAAGCAAAGTAAGCCAATCCCAAAAAAACAAAAGCCAAATATTTTCTCTGATTATATGAATACTGATCCATAATGGGGATGGAGTAGGGAGCAGGGGAGGGATGGAGCAACTTTAGATAGGGCAAAGAGGAGAGAGGGGAGGAGAGGGAGGAGGGGCATAGGAAAGATGGTGGAATGAGATGGACTTCATTACCTTAAGTACATGTATGAAGACATGAATGGTGTGACTCTACTTTGTGAACAACCAGGGACATGAAAATTTGTGCTCTATATGTGTACTATGAATTGAAATGCATTCTGCTGTCATGTATAACATATTAGAATAAATAAATAAATTTAATAGAAAAATTACCAGCTCACGTTTTAAGAATTAAAATATTTCATCCAACAGTTACAAGATACTTAATATGTTTAGACAAAAGGATATTTCTGTTGCTTAAAGACGCTTGAGTCTAAAAGAATCAAATAAACAGTCTTCAATTTTTAAATTTAAAAAAAAAGGAGTGGAAGAAAGACGGGCAAATATAGTGAGAATGCTACGTGGAGATTGAAGCAGAGATTGAAGTAGTGCATCTATGAGCTAAGAAATGCCAAGGACTGCTGGCATCACCAAAAACTAGAAAAGAGGCCTGGAACAAGACTTTCCTCACATCCCTCAGAAGAAACTGGCCTTACTGACATCTTGATTTGGACTTTTAGCCTCTAGAACTATAAGAGCATGAATTTCTATTATTTTAAGCCACCCTGTTTGTGGCACCTTATTATGGCAGACCTGGGAAACTATAACACTGGTTTTAAAAAGGGTCAGTTCTTATAACACTTTCCTAGTATTAGCAGCAAGAACTGAGGGAACATGCCAGAAAATGGATGGTGAGGGATGTGGATTTGAGAGGGGGCAGAGTCCCTGGCTCACTGCAGCCAAGACTGTACTCTTAAAATACTCCTTGATTATCTCATGTCCTTCCCCTCCCAGCTCTGCAGCCAGAAGCCTCTATAAGATAAATTTCATGCTTTGGTATTATTGGGCTTATGATCATAACAACCCCACTTCCCCTATAACTTTCAGTGGCATTCATACTTGTATATAGGATGCCTAACCACACACCTCACAATCATCAGTTAGTTGAGTCTCTGTACAACTGTTTTATGTTCCATGCCATAAATGCCAAGTTTGAAGGATAGATCATGATCAAAATTATACAAGAATGTGGTAGATGCAGCCAGATTGTATGTAGGTAGTTAATGGGGAAAAGGAAACTATTTGTTTTCTTACCATTCTTCTAGAAGAGGGTGATTTTTGTAGTACCTTTGAAGTCTTGGGGCTTGTACCCTAAAGAAAACATGGTTAGTCGTCAGGATTCATGTTGGGAAACCAAGCATGAGCTGCTTATGGAATCTGGTACAATCTTTATGGTTTTAAGTATTTATCATTTAAGTATTTATTCATATATAATGAATATGAATTTTGACCACACACTTCCCCATCTATAAATTTATACTATAAATGACTTCATTTGTGAACAATGACATAAACAAGTTTATTCACTGTCCCACAAATTGTAATATCAAAAGATTGGATACCATCTAACTAGTTGTAGTTGGACAGAATACTTTTATTTTACTTATTTATTTTTACGCGGTGCTGAGCATCAAACTCAGTTCCTTGCACATGCTAGGCGAGCACTCTACCGCTGAGCCACAACCCCCAATATTGTAAAAATAAATATTGTATTTTTAAGAGAATATTAACAAGAAAAAAGTCTACATATTCAGTACTAATGTTATTTTTTTCCTGAATATTTTAAATCAGATCAGAAGCAGTGGACACTGATACAGAAGGTCAGTTGTATTCATATTTGCTAATCTGTGCATACAGCATATGTGGAAATATACATATTTATATGCTCCTGTGTAGACATATTCTGTCATTGGTGAAATTATTTGTCTTCAGGAGGGGAAGTCAAGACTGGCTAATTTTTTTCCAGTCTTTTCTAGCTTTTGAATTTGTAATTCAGTAAAGAACTGCCTATTCAACCAAAATTAAGAATTATAAGCACAATACTGCCAGGTGGTAGCACATACTTGTAATCCAGTGGCTTAGGAGACTGAGGCAAGAGGGTCACACATTCAAAGCCAGCCTCAGCACTTAGCAAGGCCCTGCCTCAAAATAAAATATAAAAGGGCTGGGGATGTGGCTTAGTGGTTAAGTGCCCCTGGGTTCAATCCCTGACACCAAAAATAAACAATTCTCCTACACAATATATTATAATAGAGCTAAAGAAAGACCATTGCTTCCATGGTATTTATAAACTTTAAGTTCAACCTTGGTGCTACATATAACCAATCCACATATATAATCCAGACATTAAAATAACTGACATTCATATAGCAATATAAAGTTTACAAAGTGCTTTACCTATATAGTATATGACTCAAACATCGTGATAAGTCTGTAAAATAGATATTACTTTACTTCCAATTTATAAGATAAAAAAAAATTGAGGCTCAAAGAGCAAATGAAATTTCCCCAAGCTCATATAGGTAGTAACTGGCAACCAGGCCTCTGCTTCAGCTCCACATGTATCATATTTATGCCATTAATATTTTCCTGAGTAAAAAGGACAGCACAAGAAACCCTAAAGTCCACCCCTCCATAAAAAAAAATGGCAAGCACTATCAGTATCAACTTTTTCAGAACTCTGGATGCTAACCTAAAGGTTGCAACCAGGGGGTTGTCTGAATAAGAACAACAACCAAATCTCAGTAAAAAAGCAAGCTTTGTGGTGTTTCCACTTACACTCTTCCCATCCTGTCTCCCTAGCTCTGCAAAACCTTGAAGGCATCAGCCTGCGTTCCTGGTATAGGTAAGAAGGGAACAAAATGGACCTTATTCACAAAGAATCCTAAAACTTGTTTTGACCTGTCTGGGTGATCCCTGGAAGACTGGCTCAAAAGACTTGCTTTATGTCGTCTAACTTGGAACCTGACCTGTGCTAAGAAGTGTAATATTGAAAATATTTATAGGCAAATGTTGTAGTCTCAGCTGCCTGATGCAGTGGATAAGAGCTGGGAAAAACAGATAACTGAAAATCTTGGGAGTCAAGGCTGGGTACTGCATTAGGGAATAAGGGTTTGAAAACCTTTGACATTTCTAAGAATTTAAAGGGCTAAGTACTCAGCCACTACTAAGCACAGGACTGGAAAAGACCTGAAAAAGGCATAAATTCTAGGCTGATCTCCAGGTTCTGTGCAAGCAGGAGGCAGAAGGCTCAGGAAGAGTTAGAAACTGCCTGGTTGAGGAGGGAAAGGGGACCCCAACACTCACACAGCTCATCTGCAAAGACTGTGAGGATGGTTTTTTTCTAGGCATTGAACAAAGCCCCCATTAAGGCAACAGCTAACCATTAAGCTCACGGAACAGAGATTTTAGTAGCCACACAAAACAGACATTACAAACTTAGTTCAGCAAAAAAGTGACTAAACAGGTACAACAAGCAGTGGCGACCAACTCTGAATAGGGATCTGGTAGGAGGGTTCCGATTTCTAAAGTTGCCACATTATAATATTCAGAATGTTCAGTCTTCAACAAAAAGTTAGCAGACATTCAAAACAGGAAAGAAAATATGTCTTATCCACACAACTACTGAAAAAAGAAGTTTCAACTTTGTGAATATACTAAAAACCAGTGAACTTTAAATGGTTAAAATGATGAATTTAATATTGTTTGAATTTTTTATAGATTAAAATTTTTTTTCCTTCAAATGCAAGTGTTGGTTTTCCTTATATGAAATCACTTTGCTTACAATCTACAAGGGACCACAGCCCTTCATCACTATTGTGCTGTGGTGAATCAGGTAGCAATACTGCCTCCTGCTTCCTGCCTCCCGCCTCCCTGCCTCCCTACCTCCCTGCTCTTTCTCTGAACAAACATCCCTTCCTTTCTTTCTTTTCAGTGCTACCCATCTTTCCTGATGTAACTTGCACACTACTTCCTCCATCAAGTCATCCACAATTCCTCAAGCTGACGCACATATCTTTATTCTCTGCACAGTCCTGGGACATTGTCTGCACAACTGGTCTGTCACTCAGGCATATCCTGGGTATTCATGCACTTAGACACATTTGCTTCTCACATTAGATGCAAGTTCCTTAAAGATGAAGTGAGTTTCAAGTATCTGGATCCTCCTTAAGGTTGAATGAAATCAATGCTTGACATTCATGGATCACCCCCAAGTTTAACTGAAGCAATGAAGATATTTCTTCTAAAACCTGTTTCCATGACATACCTCTACACAAATAATTTTGCTACAGGAAAAATTCCTGGGAATGCAATAAATTTACCAAAAGCCATTTGATGATTATCTCTCATATAATTCCATCTCTAAAGAGATCTTTTTCCCTACTTATTTGACTTACTGGATATGGGATTGCCCTTAAATCCAGTTCACAAGGATGGAAATGTCAACTTGCAGCTTTTTTGAGATTCCTTAACTGTTCCAGTAATTCCTTAACAGAATTTTAAATTATCTTCATGAGATAGATATCTCAAGAACTTTAGTCAAAATTCAACAAAATGGAAAGGCCACAGTCATAATCACAAGACCATGTAAAATTGTTGATTCTAAATTATTAAAAAGTTACTTTGGCCTTAACTTGAGAATAAGTCTAGAAGGCGAACAGTGTGCGCTTTCCCTGTTCTCACCTCCCGTTCTATAGTCTTCCTCCGGAGCAGCTTTTTCACACTTGGGAGCTGCTTCTTTAACAGCATGGTGGCTTCATTCATCCTCCTTACTTGGGTGATTAAGAAAGATGGAACCTGGAGAAGAAAAATAGCTTGATTAGATGGAAACCACTTGAAATAAACCTCCCTCAGTTATATTAGCTTCTCCCTGTGCCACTCAGCATCTTGGAATGAGGAACTGTGGCATCTGACTTGTAAAAGGGAAATTTAAAAAATAAGAATTTCTGTTTAATAGGGAAAACATGCTAAAGAGGAGCTCTCAAAGAATGTATAGTCATCCCTCAATACACAAGGCAGGCTGACTGGTTCCTGAAACACCCTCAGATACCAAAATCTGAGGATGCTCAAGCCCCTTCTACAAATGGTCTAGTATTTGCACATGACCTATGCATATACCTCCATGTTCTTTAATACATTTCTAGATTACTTATAATACCCAGTACAATGTAAATACTATGTAAAAAGCATACTGTATACTGTATTATTGAGGGAATAATGGTAAAAAATGATCTGTGCATATTCAGTACTGATGAAAAATATTTTGGAAATATTTCCAAAATTTTTTCAGAATTTCATTCCGTGGTTGGCTGAATATGGAGCTACAGAACCTGTGGATATGGAAAGACAGCTTAAGTGGATGGCATAACAGGCATAGCTTCTATGTTCTCATATTTCCTCCTTCTAACTAAGGGGATTGCTTCATCATGGAATCCTTACATCTCCTGGTGCTGGTGGACTTTGGAGGGGAGCCTGACAGTCATCTCATTGTTACTTACCTTCCATAGAATTTTCTGGTACTTAAGCATTAGGCGGATGATGTGGGCTGCAGTGTTTGCTAACAGTAATTCTTCATAGTCAGAATGTTTGCTTCTGCTGAAGAAAAGGTTTGGTGCCATTACAGTGGAAATGTTCCACAAACTCATTCGGTTTTTTGATTCATTGGCAATCACTTTATTGAAGAATGTCATGAGGGCCTAACAAGAAATAGCATTGTGTCATACTATTGTAAACCGTCCATGGTTCCAGCGGCTGTGACCACTCATTTCTATACCCATTCACTGTGACACTGGGAAATGTCAGAAGTGTAGAATGCATAAATGTGTCATATTTCCCCTTAATCTGCTTAAAAGTTCTAAGAAGAAAATTTTATTTGATTGTTTGATAAAATAACTACATTTTAGAGAATTTATTATTTGTGGGGTCTCTATAAATTATAGCTTATATCTTCTTATTTCTTTTGTTTCAAACAATCTGACAAATATTAAAATTAAACATAAATCAGGGATAGAAAACTCTGCAGCTCAAATAAACATGAAATGCAGTCTATAGTGAAAGAAGTACTTCTTTAAAATAAACCTTTAATTTGAAGAATTACTGTTAAAAATGAGTTACTTCTTCCTTCAGAAATAAAACAAATTTAAACAATATAAATATTTCATTCATCTGCACAAATGTAAACTCAATTGAAAAAGTTTTAAAATTTTACTATTGGGTGATATTTTTCTATTGCTTTTCATTTCTGAAATCTTCAACTGCCCACAGGAAAATAATGCTTACATACAACTGTTCTAAGCAGATGAGGAGGAAGGAGGAAGAAGAAATAATTAGAAAAATCTTGTAGAGCCACCAAAGTATAGATAGATTCTCACCTTTAGAAATTCATCAAGAATAATTAGAAATTATTTTGAATCCTTATACTCCAATAAATTAGAAGATAGTGAAGGCATTGATAAATTTCTTAAGTCATATGATCTGCCCAGATTGAGTCAGGAGGATATAGACAACCTAAACAGACCAATATCAATTGAGGAAATAGAAGAAACCATCAAAAGACTACCAACTAAGAAAAGCCCAGGACCGGATGGGTATACAGCAGAGTTTTACAAAACCTTTAAAGAGGAACTAATACCAATACTTTTCAAGCTACTTCAGGAAATAGAAAAAGAGGGAGAACTTCCAAATTCATTCTATGAGGCCAACATCACCCTGATTCCTAAACCAGACAAAGACACTTCAAAGAAAGAAAACTACAGACCAATATCTCTAATGAACCTAGATGCAAAAATCCTCAATAAAATTCTGGCAAATCGGATGCAAAAACATATCAAAAAAATTGTGCACCATGATCAAGTAGGATTCATCCCTGGGATGCAAGGCTGGTTCAATATACGGAAATCAATCAATGTTATTCACCACATCAATAGACTTAAAAATAAGAACCATATGATCATCTCCATAGATGCAGAAAAAGCATTCGACAAAGTACAGCATCCCTTTATGTTCAAAACTCTAGAAAAACTAGGGATAACAGGAACATACCTCAATATTGTAAAAGCAATCTATGCTAAGCCTCAGGCTAGCATCATTCTGAATGGAGAAAAACTGAAGGCATTCCCTCTAAAATCTGGAACAAGACAGGGATGCCCTCTCTCACCACTTCTGTTCAACATAGTTCTCGAAACACTGGCCAGAGCAATTAGACGAAAGAAATTAAAGGCACAAAAATAGGAAAAGAAGAAGTTAAATTATCACTATTTGCAGGTGACATGATTCTATACCTAGCAGACCCAAAAAGGTCTACAAAGAAACTATTAGAGCTAATAAATGAATTCAGCAAAGTGGAAGGCTATAAAATCAACATGCATAAATCAAAGGCATTCCTGTATATCAGCGACAAATCCTCTGAAATGGAAATGAGGACAACCACTCCATTCACAATATCCTCAAAAAAAATAAAATACTTGGGAATCAACCTAACAAAAGAGGTGAAAGACTTATACAATGAAAACTACAGAACCCTAAAGAGAGAAATAGAAGAAGATCTTAGAAGATGGAAAAATATACCCTGTTCGTGGATAGGCAGAACTAACATGATCAAAATGGCGATATTACCAAAAGTTCTCTATAGGTTTAATGCAATCCCAATCAAAATCCCAACGGCATTTCTTGTAGAAATAGAGAAAGCAATCATGAAATTCATATGGAAAAATAAAAGACCCAGAATAGCAAAAACAATGCTAAGCAGGAAGTGTGAATCAGGCGGTATAGCGATACCAGACTTCAAACTATACTACAGAGCAATAGTAACAAAAACAGCATGGTACTGGTACCAAAACAGGCGGGTGGACCAATGGTACAGAATAGAGGACACAGAAACCAATCCACAAAACTACAACTATCTTATATTTGATAAAGGGGCTAAAAGCATGCAATGGAGGAAGGATAGCATCTTCAACAAATGGTGCTGGGAAAACTGGAAATCCATATGCAACAAAATGAAACTGAATCCCTTTCTCTCGCCATGCACAAAAGTTAATTCAAAATGGATCAAGGAGCTTGATATCAAATCAGAGACACGCCGTCTGATAGAAGAAAAAGTTGGCTACGATCTACATACTGTGGGGTCAGGCTCCAAATTCCTCAATAGGACACCCATAGCACAAAAGTTAATAACTAGAATCAACAAATGGGACTTACTCAAACTAAAAAGTTTTTTCTCAGCAAAAGAAACAATAAGAGAGGTAAATAGGGAGCCTACATCCTGGGAACAAATCTTTACTCCTCACACTTCAGATAGAGCCCTAATATCCAGAGTATACAAAGAGCTCAAAAAATTAGACAATAAGATAACAAATAACCCAATCAACAAATGGGCCAAGGACCTGAACAGACACTTCTCAGAGGAGGACATACAATCAATCAACAAGTACATGAAAAAATGCTCACCATCTCTAGCAGTCAGAGAAATGCAAATCAAAACCACCCTAAGATACCATCTCACTCCAGTAAGATTGGCAGCCATTATGAAGTCAAACAACAACAAGTGCTGGCGAGGATGTGGGGAAAAGGGTACACTTGTACATTTCTGGTGGGACTGCAAATTGGTGCAGCCAATTTGGAAAGCAGTATGGAGATTTCTTGGAAAGCTGGGAATGGAACCACCATTTGACCCAGCTATTCCCCTTCTAAGTCTATTCCCTAAAGACCTAAAAAGAGCATGCTACAGGGACACTGCTACATCGATGTTCATAGCAGCACAATTCACAATAGCAAGACTGTGGAACCAACCTAGATGCCCTTCAATAGATGAATGGATAAAAAAAATGTGGCATTTATACACAATGGAGTATTACTCTGCATTAAAAAATGACAAAATCATAGAATTTGCAGGGAAATGGACGGCATTAGAGCAGATTATGCTAAGTGAAGCTAGCCAATCCCTAAAAAACAAATGCCAAATGTCTTCTTTGATATAAGGAGAGTAACTAAGAACAGAGTAGGGACGAAGAGCATGAGAAGAAGATTAACATTAAACTGGGATGAGAGGTGGGAGGGAAAGGGAGAAAGAAGGGAAATTGCATGGAAATGGAAGGAGACCCTCAGGGTTATACAAAATTTCATACAAGAGGAAGTGAGGGTAAAGGGGAAAATAATACAAGGGGGAGAAATGAATGACAGTAGAGGGGGTAGAGAGAGAAGAGGGGAGGGGAGGGGAGGGGAGGGGGGATAGTAGAGGATAGGAAAGGCAGCAGAATACAACAGACACTAGTATGGCAATATGTAAATCAATGGATGTGTAACTGATGTGATTCTGCAATTTGTATACGGGGTAAAAATGGGAGTTCATAACCCACTTGAATCAAAGTGTATAATATGATATATCAAGAACTATGTAATGTTTTGAACAACCAACAATAAAAAATTAAAAAAAAAAGAAATTCATCAAGAAGACTGAAATCTCAAAAGGAACTAATATTTGGTTTTGCAATTTCAATTCTACTACAGATATTTGTCATGAGAAAATGCATAGCATATGGTAGTAATAATAGCTTATTATTTATGTGAATAGTTTATTATTTATCTGAAGATTAACATAGGACAGGCATTATTCTTAATGATTTATACTTATTTATATCCTTCTAAACCCTAAAAGGTTTCTATTTTACAGATGAGGAAACAGAGGTGAAGAAGGGCCCAGTGGCTTTTCCTAGCACCAATGAATTAACTAGCAGAGCCAGGATCTAAACCAAGGAAACCAGTTCTTGAGCTAGCATTCTTTTTTTTTTATATATATATATTTTAGTTGTCATGCACCTTTATTTATTTATATGTGGTGGTTAGAATGGAACCCAGTGCCTCATACACGCTAGGCAAGCGCTCTACCACTGAGCTACATACAACCCTATAGTTAGCATTCTTCCAGCTTAAATCTTAGATCCAGGCACAATTAAGAATGGAAACAAAAAACAACAACAAAAAAATGTGTGTGTGTGCGCACAAGCATATTGAGTGTGTGCGCACAAGCATGTTGAGTATGTGCATATATAACATCACCAGTTTCATGAACTTTTTGGGGGATCTTTTGTTAGAAATGTATTGGATTTCTTGACAACTGCTGCATCCTCAGTTATATGAAAGGGTAGATGACATTTTGACTCAGATATATATATATAAATAAATTTAAAAATCAACTGGGCACAGTGGTGCATGCCTGTAATCCGAGAAACTTGGGAGGCTAAAGCAGGAGGATCACAAGTTGGAAACCAGCCTCAGTAACTTAGTGAGACCCTGTCACAAAATAAAAACTAAAAGGGCTAGGGATCATTGCTCAATGGTAGAGCACCTCTTGGTCCAATCCCCAGTACCACAAAAATAAAATAAAACTATGTTTTAAAAAATTGAGTATTCAATACTTAGTCGATCATTTATTTAAATCTCCTTTTATATATACTTTTAATTTAATTTCAGTCTTTAGGTCCTAAATTTGAATATAAAATTTATATGTTAATGAACTAACTTTATAGTCAATGCCAAATATGTTTATTCAACTATTGATTCAATCAAAATAACACAGCTATAAAACTAAAGAATCCATTATGTAGAGTGTCCTTTTAAATTTCCACTTTTCTTTTTAGAGCTTGACTAATAACTTATTTGGAAACTGCCTAAAATAATTATGAACTCAGATATTGGGCACCAGATAGACTTTTGATTTCGATAAAATACGATGGTTTAGACAAACACCCAAAACAAGCTAACAAATTTCTATCTTTTAAAAAATTACTGAATTATATTAGAGACTGACATTGTTATGGTTCAGTAATCCCATCCTTATGTTGAAGATATAATCAACACATAATTGACATAAGTGTTTTTACTGTGTAGGGGGGAAAGGTCCTCACCACACAGAGAGTCTGATAAGATGTGACACAGTTTTGTTTTCAGCATATGTTTACTGGGTTCAAAATTATGGGCTTTTTCAAAGATTCCAAATACCTGTATACTTAAAACAAATCTTCTATTGTATACAGAATTACTACGGAAATGGCAAGAGAAACTTTTTCTTTTCTTTCTTTTCTTGTTTTTTTTTACCAACACACAACAAAGCAATGAATTTGAAATAAAGGGAGGGATATCTGAGATAAAGAACTATGAAATATGATTCTATCAAATGTTCTGTTATATGTTAATGAACAAATTGTTTCTTTCAGCTTCATTTTCCTAATCTGCAAAATGACCAGATTTTATCAAGTAATGTCTAAAATTCTAAACTTATTTAATTTGTATTATTTTCACACATTTTAAAACACAAAACATTTTAGAAGTTTCACTTAATCCAATGACTTCAAGTTTCCTCTCCAAAATCTACCCATTAAATTTTTTTTTTTGCCACTAAAGTGAGCAGCTGAGGAACTAACAATTACAGTCATTCATATATATATATATATATATGAGAGAGAGAGAGAGAGAGAGAGAGAGAGAGAGAGAGAGAGAATTTTTTAATATTTATTTTTTAGTTTTTCGGCGGACACAACATCTTTGTTTGTATGTGGTGCTGAGGATCGAACCCGGGCTGCACGCATGCCAGGCGAGCGCGCTACTGCTTGAGCCACATCCCCAGCACCCAGTCTTATATTTTACAGGTTATAAAATGGTCTCATTTACTTCTAACATTGTTCCATTTAAGGCTTTCATCTTTGTCTCTTCTCCTACTTCTAATACCTAGCCCAATGCCCAGCATCAAAGTAAACAATATCCCTTGAATGAATTAAATGAATGGAATTTATATGTTCAAAGAAGATTCCAGACCTTCTCTTTCCTCAGCACAGTGGCAGTGGGGCAGGGGTGTGCAAAGGCAGTCAGTTTGCAGCATGCTCAGTGGGATCTTAAGTTGTCATCAGTTTTCAACTTTTTCTAGAGGAGTCATTTCCTCTGAGCAATATGACCCCCATGACAAACCCTGAGGTCAACCCAACATACCTGGGCCGTATCCCTGTTGGCGTCAGGAAGTGCCATGACCATCAGGTGTAAGGCTTGAAACTGCACTTTGATGTGAGGCCCTCCTAACAAGAAAACAGAAATAATCACACATTTGAAACAACACTGATGTATTCTGACAGCATTTCTTGCTAACATCTGGTGGCACAGGAGGGCTCCTGACAGTTTTTAGTGGTAAGGACTCAGGTTCTGTGCTCAACAATGTAAATTTGTTCACTTGGACAGAAGCCTCCGTCTATCAACCTCCCTTCACATCCCATCATGCCACTGTAAAAGCAGGTGGCCAACCAAATACTTAAAATAATCCCAGATTTGTATAGCATCTCTATTTTCAAAGGATTTTCACAGACCTCGCCTTACTTTTATACTAAAAGTCTATTTGCTCAATTTTGCTTCTGCAAAATGAGGCAGCAAGATATAGTTATTATGAACATTTATTCTAGAACCAGATTCAAATTCAAAATTTAAAGTCTACTACTAAATCACTGTGTGAGTTTGGGCAGGTTATATAAGACCTTATTGCTTTCTTTTTATCTACAAAATGGGAATAGTCATCCTACCTACCTTACAGGACTGATGTGAGGACTAAATGAGCTGATAAATGCACAGTGTTTAAGTTAGTGCCTAAATACAATCATGGCTACATATGCATGCTCTTGTGATCAATGTCACCTGTTCTAGCTTGTACAGGGACATTTAGGGACGATGTTTGTGGTTTGCTCTTTGGAGACTGTTGAGGCATTTTATTCCTTAAAGACACAAGATGGCGCCAGAGGGTTAGCATTTATATAGAGGGAGTCCATCCACACAAGATAATCCACAAGCAGCCGTGCTGAAATTTTAAAGTACACTAGAGAATCCAGACTTTCCTTCATCTTTCTGTATTCTCCTCAAAATGGTCTCTTGGTGAGGAGTTCCTGCAGGAAAGCATTATGTTCTGGAATCCCTCAGGAGTTCTCAAGTTCAAGAGAACTTCAACTTGAGAATATTATATTCAATGGCTGAAAAGCAGGCAGTTTGTTATAAAGTTACTGAGCTTCATAGCAGTGGAAATGCTCACGTGACGAGCCACTAGGCTAGCAGAGGTTGTGAGTAAGGTAAGGATGGATGACAAGTGTATACAATCATGAACAAGGCAGCAGTGAGAGGCATGTTTATAAGGATCATACCACATGCTCTCAGCACAACCCATATGTGAAGTTTAGATATTTATGTCAAATTCATAAACAAAATATGACCTAAGTTCAGAATGTAACTGAAAACCACCAATGCACATTGACGTGAGCTTGCCTGAATAAGAACCATCAGGAGAATGTCTCTGTACAGAGCATTTAGGGACAGAGAGACATTATTTTAATACATGAACTGCAGATTGCAGACTGTCTCTAATCTTCCAATGTAATACAAAAACACCTCTGGGTGGGGTAAACAAGATGCAGATGTAGGCTTGGGAGCTCTCTATTTCCATCCATTTCAGAGAAATTATGAAGTTCTCTTTACAATTAAAAGTTTCACGTGGCAAATAATCCATTTTCATTTTACTTAGGAAGCTTGGTCCTAAACTGTTCTGTGGTTAATAGTTTTGCAGTTAATTCGTTTAATGCATCTTAGTAGAGAACATTCTTTTTCCTGAGGTCATTATTCTCCCAGAAAGTTATTAACACTTCAAGAAAGCATATGAGGCTCAATTGATGAGTTTTTTAATTGTACGGGCAATTTGGGGGCCAAGATTGAAAAGAGAAAGTAATTACACAACTGGGAAAGAATCTGTGTTCTCTGAACTTCAGTATCAAGAGGGTTGCTTAAACACGCACGCGCATGTGTTCACAATTCTCCCCTTCAGAAAATCTCGTTAAAACGAGAGCTTTCTTCAGGTGGCAAAAAGGCCATTATTTCCTGCTGCTCATAGGCCAGAACTCTGGGCTTCCTGCAGGGTTAGCTGGTATCAAATCAATCACCTGCAATATAGTATTTTTCACTTTCAAAGTCCTACAGGAAGTGTGGACTCCTTTGTAAACCTTTTCAGGATATTTTTCAAATTATCCCCCGTCAGTGAAGTGCACTGGCTGCAGTCAGAGAGGAAGCGATGATGGGAAGAGAAATTCATTTATTCATGTGCCTTTCTTAATATGATTCTCAGGATGGCTCTAAAACCTTTGGAGGTCTGAATCCTCCTTGCATAATTCATAATTCCAAATCACACAAACAAGCAAACAAAAACACAAACCCTCTGTGGCATGGTTTCTTTTGATGACTTCTTTGGCATATGAACCACAAAGCAAAGGGAAACTAATAATTTTGCAGTCCATTTTCTAGGACAGCAAACAAAAATAGGAAGTCCTGAAAAAAAATTTAAACTTAAAAATAGGAAATTCTGTTTCTGGTTTGGCTGAGTAAGCTCCTTTTACAAAAATCAACCATTCTGAATAATCTTCAGACAAAGTACAAAATCCAACTACCTGAGACAGTGGAAAGGGAACAAAAGAGGCCCGCTCAGGAGGGGCTGGGCACCTGGAAGAGGAGAGGGCACAGGGAGAGTGTCACGTGTTCCTGGCTTCTAACTTGAGGCCAGGCCATAGTCAGGGTTGTCTAGGATGGCCAAAAATGCAATAAGTAAATAAATAATCCTACTCTTTCTGACCTGAATCATAAAATAGGGTTCAAGGCAACCACAGCTCCCAGAAAGTTATGGAGCCATCATAAAAAGGAGGGATCCAGAGATGGAAGACCCTCTTTGTAGAATAAACTCCACCCACATCATTGGCTGACCCAAAAGCCACTCAGGACAGCATAGCAGAGGGTTAAATAACAGAACTGAGCCTTGCTGAGCTGCTGTCCAAAAGACACTAGCAACTAGAGTCCAGCCAAGCAAATTACCAGCTTAAAACAGCACAAACAAACAAATACTTTTTGGAGGACTACTGCAGAAACCAGTCTCCAAACACAACATTCATGATGTTCAGAAGACAATTTAAACTGACTTGACATACAGAAGTAACAGGGACATGTAATCTATTCTCAAAGGTAAAGACAGAGACCAAACCTGAGATAACCCACACAGCAGAACTAGCCGACAGGTTTTTTTCATGTGTGTTTTGTTGTAGTTGTTTTACAGTACTGAGGATCAAATCCAGGGTGCTTTACCACTGAGTGACATCTCCAGCCCTTTTTTATTTTCAGACAGGTTCTCACAAAGAGACTGAAGACTGGCCTTGAACTTGTAGTCCTCCTGCCTCAGCCTCTCCAGTTGCTGGGATTACAGGTACGTGTTACATACCCAGTCAAATAGCGGTTTTGAAGCAGCTATAAAAATTATGACCAATGAAGTGAAGGAAACGATAGGGTATCTTAGCATATGAATAAAAAATATTTAAAAAGCACCAACTGAAAATCCTAGAATTGAAAAAAAAATCCCACAATTATCTGAAATAAAAATGAAAGAATGGAAGTCACTTTTCCTTCTTTCTTAGCAATTTTTTCTTTCTAAAATACTGACTGGATCCTAGTGGGGGAAAAAAAAGGTACTGGTCACAGACTACATATGTAAATTAAAGCTTAGAAAAGGGTCGCCTTGACTCTAATAGTCTCTTATTAAAAGACACAAAGGATTATTCTGTGAATCTGGTTCAGTTAAAAATTTTAAAGATAGGAAACTTCTATTTTTTTTAGGACAAATTTTTTAGATAACTTAGGATCTATGTTATTTTGTTTCATTAATATTTTAATGACTTTATAGTTCTAGTAAACCTGCAGAAGGTTGCAGACTATCAGATATAAATATCATGTGTTAAACTCACAGAGCATTTTAAAATTTGAATTTCTGGCTGACATTTTCAAATGAAAATTTTTCCCATTAAAGCCTGAATTTGGCTCTCAGTCCTGCAGGGCAACTATTACCCAGAGCTGAGCAGCGACCAGTGTCTGTAAATGGGAAGTGTCCTCTCAGTTTGGTCATAGCCCTTTTCTGTTCATGTAGAACTACCATTTATTTAACATGCTCATATAGTCTTAGGCTTGTGACCCCTGACTTCACCATGTCAGTAGGCAAAGCCCCCAATATCTAACCCATTCCACTTTTATAAATTTTTCTGTTTTCATATCCTCTAACAATACTCAACCCTTACAACCAACCATTCAAAGTATTCCCTGACTGCCAAATACAGCCACACAGTCCAACTTTGTGCATTCTGTCAAGTACCTCATTTAAGATCTAATCTATGAGACTGTGATTTTCAGAAACACTGTGTGGTATTATGATTTTCAGAAACAAAATGTTTCACACTTGTTACATATTGCATCGTCAGACCCAGGACTTCAAATTTAAGAAGGGAGGGATCTCATGTTTTTGAAGGGCTTTTCTTGATGCTTTCATTCAATCCCCACAATAACCCTGACAAGTGATTATTATTTGCAATTTATAGGTACAGCAGTTGAAGCTCATAAAGTTTGCATGGCTAAAAGATGGTTACACAGGAATTCAAAGCTGAAGAGTCCCATCCTCCTATGAACCCCTCTGCCCTTTAAACTATCACAGAGCCCTCAAAATCATACATACCAGACTTAAACACGTTAGTATGTAAATGGATAACTGTTTACAATCAAACTTAATATTTCAACCAAGCATCATCAGGAAACAGCAAATCGACACATGTGGTCACATGTCATTAGGCACCTCTCTTCGGCTCTATCACTTTATTGACCTCATATCTTAGTCCATTCACATTTAACATCTTCTACCTACTTTCCATTAGGGTGATGAAGGCAGGTATATATTCCACAGGGAAGAGAGAGGTGGGCAGTTCTCTGAAAAATGCTTTCAACATTACTGCAGCTTCTCTATGGCACATTTTGTCCCATTTAAATTTATCAGTATTAAACTTGGCATCCAGTTCTTCACGGTATTGCTGCAAATCAAGGAAGACAGCAATGAGATTTAGTGTGTTTTTACCATCTTTTATCCCCTTTGAAAACTATCATTAATTAAATTAGTTTTGTACATAGAGTGATAAAGCACTATATACTAAGCCTTTTTTTCAACATGATTAATAGATCTGAAGTGACTGATTATGAATAAAATTTTAAAAATGTATTTGAGAATATTTAAAAAATAATGTTAATCTTGAACTAGACAAATATAAAAATTTTTTAGTTAGATCATAGTTTCCTTTCTGTGGTTTTGGCAGGAAACCACTATTCCCACATGATAAATGCACTGCTAGATTTTGACAAAGTCCCTATTCCCTTCTTTTCTTAATCCCTTCTGCCATCGTCACTTGTATTTCTAAAGTAGATCAGGAATGTGCACCTCTCAGCTAGTCCACATACAGAAGGAAAAATGTCCCAATAAAGTAACTCTGACCTCACTACACCATGCAGGCCAATGACATCTTCCTGGAGCAGTTACAGCAAAGTTTTATGCCAAGACACACACATGTCCTCCACATGTCTGCATGCCTGCCAAATCCTTCATAAGGTTTGGAGCACTGTGCAAATACTTCAAAAAACAAACAAAAAAGCACTAAGCCCTCAAAGGTTCTACTTGCCTTACAAGTTTTACATTATCAATTCATCTGATTATCAGTGCCACCGGTTCTCCATGTTTCTTTTCTAAAGTCAAACTCATCCTCTCCTGCTCCTTTGAACTACAAGGTTTACCTACTGTAACAGGCAATTAGTCTCCTGACTGACACTAACTTCTCCAAAAGGAATACTTTGAAAGAAACACTGAAAACCCTTAGAAGCCTAATTCTTCCAGCTTTGAACACACTCAGCCAAAGTCAGTTCACACATCTCACCTTTTCCTATCAAGAGCAGCTCATTAATATGCCAGGTACAGATGCTCTCATGGCTCCCAGAGTCTGTAAAATGGAGATCCTTCACATAACAAGTTACTTACAGAGATACATGGGATTGAGATCCACCCTCCAGTCCCTGCAAATGAGTCAAAGGAGATTTCTTATCCTGAAATCTAATAGGAATACTACAGCTAACCAAGTGGTCCTTTGATGATAAATACAATTATTCCAGTTGTCCTGGAATAAAGGATATCATGCAGCAGACTGGTTCTGGAAAAGAAAGATACAAGAAATCCACTCTTTGTCTTTAGGTGTCTTGTAGTACAGTGAAGGGGACCATTTCATGAACTGATAGTACTAATTCAGAATGTAAATGCTTTCATAAAGGTCACATATTGGCACCATAACAGTCATCAGAGAAAGTAAACCAAACTGCTAGGGCCAAATCTTGAGAAACCTGATAGCAGAAGAGGACACAGAAGGACATGCTGGGTAGAAAGAATAGCTCAAGCGGTGACAGGTACTCATAGAGATCCAGTGTGCATGGAGAGTTGCAGATAGGTTAATGTTGCTGGAGTAAGGAATGAACCTGGGAAGCAGCCATGGCCACTCGGAAGGGGACAGGACTGCTTCCTGCAGTCAGTGAGGCAACTTGGGACATCTCTAAGCTGGAGAATGTCAAGGTGAAATTCATTGTTGATGACATCCAGACTGAAAAAATTATTTGAGGAATGAGGGGTTTGGTACAGGTTAGGAGAAGGCAAAGGAAGTAAAGAGTCCAGTTATGAGGCCATACACCAAAGGACAATTACCAAGCAATTGTAATTAGAAAGAACAGAGGCTATTAAAGAAATGCCTAGGAGGGGAAACGTAGGCAGGTGCAAATATTGTTAAAAGAAAAAACAAGAGGAAGAGCAAGAGTTTTCCATCAGTTGCCTAGTACTCCTACTGTAATGCAAGGGGCAACTGTTCTTCAAGAACAGAACAATTCGGATTCGTTTTCCACAAATCTCTGCAAAAGGAACCCATCTAATGTGACTCTCCTAACCTGCAAGTGTTCTCAGGTCACCTAAGAGGCAATAATGCACCAAGGCCAAGGGCATTATAATAAGATCTCTGAAGTTCTTATTCCAACAACCCCACCAACTGATCTGTATGGCCTATGCTTCAAGATTCTCACTAATATGATAGGGGTATTAAAATGATCTTCCTACCTCAAATAGCCAGAACTATCTTGAATGGAAAGAACAAAGTTGGCATTACACTAACTGACTTCAAAATAACTGCAAAGCTATAGTTATTAAAACAGTACAGCAAGACAAAAGAAATCCCAAAAACAGCACAGCATTGAAATAAAATAAACATATGGACCAATGGAACAGAGAGCCTAGAAGTAAGCCACATACCTACAGCCAACTGATGATCAGCAAAGGAGCCAAGAACATGCACTGAAGAAATGACAGTCTTCTAATATATGGTGCTGGGAAAATTGGGTATCCACATGCTGAAGAATGGAATTGGATTTCTACCTTTCATCGGTTACAATAATCAACTCAAAAATGAATGAAAACTGAAATGTGAGAAACGAAACTACTGAAAGAAAGCATAGGAGAAATGCTTTGGGACACTGGAATGGGTAAGGATTTTGTGGACAAGACCCAGGAAAAAAAGCAAAAATAGACAAATGAAATTACACAAACTAATAATGCTTCTTCTCAGCAAAGGAAACAATCAACAGAGTGAAGACCACAACCTACAGAATGGGAAAAAAATATTTGAAAACTATACTTCTGACAAGGGGTTAATATTCAGAATATATTATGTAAGAAGTCTAAAGACTCATAACAAAAAACAAACAAAATCCAAGCCAATTAAAAAATGGGCAATAGACCAAAATGGACATTTCTCAAAAGAAGACATACAAATGGCCATAATATATATATTAAGAAAAAAAGTTCAATGTCACTAATCATCAGGGAAAGGCAAAAAACCATGGTGAGGTATCACCTCATTCCAATAAGAATAGCTGCTATCAAAAAGACAAAAGATAAGAAGTGATCTAGTCTGTTGGTGACACTTTCCTTTCAACAATAGAATGGAGAGAGACCCTGTGCCTAATAGAAGAAAAAGTAGGCCCCAATCTTCATCATGTTGGCTTAGGACCTGACTTTCCTAACCAGATTCCTAAAGTGCAAGAAGTAAAATTAAGAATTATTTTTTTATTCCAGTCTGGAATCAATAAATGGGATGGATTCAAACAGAAAAGCTTCTTCTTAGCAAAGGAAACAATCAATAATGTGAAGAGAGAGCCTACAGAATGGGAGAAAATCTTTACCATATGCATCTCAGATGGAGCACTAATCTCCAGGATATATAAAGAACTCAAAAAACTTACCACCAAAAAACAAATAACCCAATCAATAAATGGGCCAAGGAACTGAACAGACACTTCTCAGAAGAGATACAATCAGTCAACAAATATATGAAAAAATGTTCAACATCTCTATCAATTAGAGAAATGCAAATCAAAACTACTCTAAGATTTCATCTTACTTCAGTTAGAATGGCAATTATCAAGAAAACAAGCAACAGTAATTGTTGGCGAGGATGTGGGGAAAAACGTACACCCATACCTTCCTGGGGGGACTGCAAATTGGTGCAACCATTCTGAAAAGCAGTATGGAGATTCCTTAGCAAACATGGAATGGAACCACCATTTGACCCAGATATACCTCACCTTGGTTTATACCCAAAGGACTTAAAATAAGCATACTACAGTGACAAAGCCAAATCAATGTTTATAGCAACTCAATTCACAATAACTAAACTATGGAACCAACCTAAATGCTCTCTAACAGATGAACGGGTAAAGAAAATATGGTATATATACACAATGAAATATTACTCAGCCTTAAAGAAGAATGAAAGTATGGCATTTGCAGGTAAATGGATGGAGCTGGAGAATATCATGCTACGTGAAATAAGCCAAACCTAGAAAATCAAATGATGAATGTTTTGTTTGATAAGGGGATGTTGGATGCTGATCCCTAATGGGTGAGGGGTTGCTAAAGAAGAATGGAGAAACTCTGGATTGAGCAGAGGGGAAGGGAGGGAGTAGGGGGATGGGAAGGATTGTGGAATGAGATGGACATTATTACCCTATATAAATGTATGACTGACTGCATGACTGGTGTGACTCTGCACTTTGTACAACCAGAGGAATGAAAATTGCTCTATCTGTGTACAATGTGTCCAAATGCATTCTGCTGTCATGAATTAGAAGAAATTTTTAAAAAGAACCAAGTAGGAGGTAGTTTTAAAAAAAACAAGATAAGAGGCATTGGCAAAGACGTGAAAAGAAAGGAAACCCTCCTGCACTGTTGGTGGGAATGCAAACTAGTACAGCTGTTATGGAAAACAGTGTGGAGCTTCCTTGAAAATTTTAAAAATACAACCACCATATGATCCAGCCATCCCACTATGGGTATGTGTCCAAGGGAAAGGAAATAAGTTTTTCAAAGAGACAGTGGCAAGCCATTCATTGCAGCACTATACACAACAACCAAGAAAGGGAAACTAACTAAAGTGTCCACCGACTGATGAACGGATAAGAAAATGCAGTTCAGACCCACCATGGAATACGATTCAACCATAAAAAGAATGGTTGCTCCCTCCTCCTAGGTCTATTCCAGTCTTCAGGGTCAGTCCTACAGGAATCTATGCATATAAAGCGTGATTGTTTGGGCAACAACACCACATGATCTATTGTCTAGATGGCTAGTGTAAAATAACACCAAGAGAAAGATCGTCCTCTTCCGATTTTGACCAGAGCAGGCTAGAGGGTATATGACATTTCCACGGTAGCCCTAAATATGAAACCACATAAACCAGATGTGAGTTTACTTGGCCTCAAACAGGCAGGGAGCACCTGGAGGGTGTAGAAGTCAATTTTCCTGTCAACTGTTAATGAGACCAGAGGCAAGGGTTGGAATTCAGGTTCTTAAATCTCCTTGGAGCAGAAATACAACCTGCTAAAATTTAGTTTTCATACAAATGCCAATGACTAGCCTGCAGCCACCAGCTCAGGAAGAGAAACTAACAGGCCAGGTAATGTAACTATAGAGCATTTAGTGCTGCCAGGGAATAATGGAAATGAGTCAAAAAAAAAAAAAGAGAACCTCACATGTCAAACTGTCTGCCTTCTTCCATAAAAAAATATACTCCCCAGTGTTTGGCTCAGATTTCTGCCGTGTTTTTAAAAGAAAATCACTGAACACACCAAAGCAATAAATTGGATCCAAATGACCTGCAGCCTCCAACAGGGGAACTGGCCTTGCATTTTTGTCTCTGTTTGGCTAAAGCCTTGCAACTTCTCAAGGCTGCCTCCCTGTCAGTCTTATTAAGTGTTTAAAACACAAAGCCAGGCTGGGTGTTCAATAGTGAAGCCTCAAATAGTTGCTGTCTTTTACTGGCACAAGGTGAGGCTCATTACAGTAGAATTAAAAAAAAAAAAAAAAAAAAAAACTTTCTCCAAAGCACATTCCTAGAAAATGTAGTACAGTGGCTGAAGAAGGAAGGAAGGAAGGAAAAAAGGAAGGAAGGAAGAAAGGAAGGGAAGAAAGAGGTAGTTTGAGGTTTGAATTGAGGAGAAAGAATAAAAGCCTCTGTAGTAAGTCAAGTTTCAATGCCTTTCTAACTGCAGAACTTTCCTTTTTTTGCTCACTGGCCCAGATTCCTTTTGCATTGGTTTCTTGGAGCCTGAACCATGAAAACATCTGGATTACATTTTTCGGACTAACAAGCAGTAGAATAAATAGGCTGACACTACATAAAACCGATTAGGATAGAAAAGGGACTTTGACCTAAATGTGGTTCAGGAATGCATTTGCCTGTAAGAACACTCTGAAGGAACGATTAGCCTTTGATAAACATTTTTCAGTCAAAGACTAGCTCAAGAAAAATATCTTTTGCTATAAGGTTAAACTTGTTGCACATAAGAGATATCCTATATTTTCTTCCATTGGTTATTGAGGAAAAAGAAAAGTAGATCTTATCCATTGTGCTTCTCACAAACTCACCTGTGTATGCACGCGCGCGCGCACACACACACACACACACACACACACAGCAGCCAGAATATATGTAAACGTAGCTTTCCAATGGGAGTCTGATTTTGTTGAGGAAATTCATTTTGTTGACTTTATTTCAGGTCTCTAACTCTGCTGGTAACCACAGATTTAACCAAAACTAGTAACAGTTTCCACCTTCAGATACAGGATACATTTATTCAGAAGTGAATCTAAGAATCAGTCATTTGAGAAACAAAGGCAAGAAGTAGATGGAACTTGGAAAGCATAACCCTAAGGAGCCATTAGAAACTCACCTGCCTTCCACGTGAAGCTATATTTAGCCAACTCCAACAGGGAAGTCAAAACTCCCAATGTACTTTAATCCCTGACATCACTGTCAATGGCCTGGTACTGGGCTCAGATCTCCCTTCAAAAGAGAATTGGCCACATGCATCTGCAAAACATTCAAGCAGCTGACTCTCCAGGCGGTTGGCCCCTTCTCTGCAGGAAGCCCAGTCCATGGCGGGGCAGGGCACCTAACAGGAGGAACTGCCAGGCCTGCACTGTGGCCTGAGGCTCACCCTGCCCAATCCTGCTTCCTGCCCTCTATAAAGGATAACCTTCAGAAGCACTATCCCTTAGTACAACTCTCTTCCACTGCTAATCCCTCTTAGCATCTGCTCTCTAGAGGATCAAAAAGACATGCTATTTACTCTGTTTCCACTTAAAAAAATCTTGTAACACTTCTTTATAAAAAGTCCTGAGACTTCTGGATACAAAACAGAATTTCCCCAAACAGGTACCAAAATGAATTAATGAAGACACACCTTTCTGTTTCTATGCATTTCCTTGGAATAATTCTAACCACAACTAAATTCATTTTTGCCTTCCCCTGAGACTTTTTTCTCAGAGGTTCATTATTTAATATCCACCAACCAGGGCTGATCCCAGCACAAGGATGAATTCTTCATCGTGTGTGCCCATCAGAAGATGCAGTGGGATACTTTACTGGAAATTAATGACAAAAGCTTTTTCTTTTCAATGATTCTTCCCCTTACTCTTTTGTAGAGTTCCCACTTTTATAGAAGTAAGAAGGCAAGGTAAAAGGATGCACATGGCTTGAGGGGTGTTGTGCGTGGACACTGACATTACCATAAGTGGAACTGGGTTTTAGAACTGCAGTGTTATGACCATGGCTACAAATTTTCACAAGAAATTCAACTAAAAGGAAAACCAGTGAATGTCTCTAAGCTTAAAGTAACTGGAAATGGAAAGAAGGGCAGGCTCCCACGTTGTTGGCTTAGTGACTTTCATGACAAAAAGGAACCCAGCAAGCTGACGTGGCTAACTCAAAACAGGGATGAGCATTTTGACTTTTCAAACTGAAAATAGGCAGTGTTTTTTGATGTATTGTTTTGTTGTTACAGTTTATTATTATTAATGTTGTTTAATTTAAAAGGATCATGAAACAAACACATAATCATAGGTACCAAGGAATATTAGGAAGAGCCAAATGATCGTATCAAGTAAATAACGACATCAACAAAGACTAAATTCCCAAAGCTCCTTTGGGCTGGATCTAACTAGCTTTGATTTCTAACAAGGAACAGAAAATGTTAGGTACCTTGACTTTGGCAGTACATCCTGAAAGTCGAAAAATTCCTTCAGATTCCAGACCTGATTCCTCGACTTTCTCAAAAAACTAGAAAGCAATGATATATTACAAAAATAAGCACCTCTATAGGATTATAAACATCTGAAATAGTGATGATAGCAATAATCAACATATTGAGCATGTACATGCAACTGGTACTTGACTACTGTGTTAACTATTCTTGACCACTCTAAAAGGTCAAAATAATCCTCCAATTAGCAAATGAGCAAATGGTGATTTTGAGTCCTTACATAACTTTCCCAAGATCAAGCTCCAAGAGATGGCACTGGCTCTCCCAAGCTTTGTTTCTTAACCAGTATAATATGTTGTCACTTAACCATTTTAAGATTGAACTTCTACTATATCTCCTCTTCTGAAGACTGATCAGTGAGAAAAGATTCTAAATCTTTGTAATCACCCTGGCTAAGACCCTATGGGACTTGCAGATATCTGACCAAGAAGTTAGGGATTTCAAAGGTTAATCACTCTCATGAGTTCTCTCAGTGGTGATGGTTGCTTTAAAAAAAAAAAAAGTTATAGGATCACTACTTATTGTGTATTGCAGCTCAGATACTAATCTCAGCATTTTACATATATTACTTTATTTAATTCTGGCAATAATTATATAAGGTAGATACTATTATTTTCTTCATTTTACTACTGAGAAAACTGAGGTACAGAAAAGTGAAACTTCACACAGTGAAAGGAGAATCCAGTGTCTTTATCTCCTTTAAAGAAAGGATGGCACTTGGAACTAAAGTAGTTCTTTTAGGTACAAAGAGAAACAGATATTCAGGAAGAAAAAACCCGAGAAAGAAACGACGCTCCTATAGGAGTGAAAGAGGGCAACCTCAAATTGTCTTAAATGAGAAATACTTAACATCAACAGTAATAACATTTATTGAGTGACTAATGTGATAAAATTCCAGACTGCCTTTAACTAGCACTTCTTGAGCGCCTTTTGTTTGCTACCATTTGCTAAGTTCTGTGCTAGGTTTTTGTGCTTACATAACAACATAAATTTAAGTGTTGAGTCTTCTCAGATTTCCATGAATTTTTCTTTGAACTCTTTCCTTTACATAGAGGAAAAAGGGCATCATATAGTTTTCATTCAAAGCAGGGAAGAAAATCGTAAGAGTCACCATGAACTATGGGCCTGAATCCATACTGTGTTCCTTCTTTTCCACGCTGCTCTTGCTGGCTGTGTGATCTTGGGTAAGTTATTTCACCTTCCTATGCCTCAGTGGCCTCAATTGCAAAAAGGAGATTAACAACACTGATCTCCTTAGGTTGCTTTGGGCTGACTCAAAGGATATTATGTGGATAACAATGGTGCAGCCCTGCCGGGGAGAGGTGGTTGTAGATGGGCCCTGTGCACAGAGGTGTCACCAGTGTACTCTGGCTATCTATCTGACTGTTCCCAAACTCAAATTTAAGTCCCCAGATTTAAGAGAGAATCTCAATTTGTGGTATTGGTAGCAAAATATAGGAAGACAAGAAGAGGGATGAAGAATTGTTAGTGTGAGTAAAGTAACTATAATTCTTCAGTTTTATATATATATCATTCAAAAACATCTTAAAATTCAACAAGGTTTGTGTTGAGGGCTTGGAATTTTAATTGTGCCACTGGATGTCACTGTTGAATAAATGCATACTTAGGTAAATCAGTGTGAATTGCTGCCTATTAGACAAGAACATAACTTAAAAGTAAATCAGCTATTTAGCAAGGGTAGTTACAGCAGAGATACTTGCATAATAATCTAGAGATCAAGTATCTTCTTCTACCAAAATTCTTCTCATTGTCTAAAAGTATCCTATCTGCCCAGTCATACCTGGAAAACCACTAGAACAAGATGATTTTTAAAGTCTATTAAACTTTGTTTGAAAAATTTATAAAATGATCACATACACAGTAATTCTTAAAAATCTAGTCTATGATATATCTTAGCAAATATTCCATAAATATACTAAAATAGTAATTAATTATCAGCTTTATCTGACAGAATGAATATACACACACATACATATGGACAATTTACATTTGAAAAAATATTGGAAAAAACAAAACTGTGTCCATCCTCTGATGTTCTGTGGTCAGACAGTGTCTAACAGGCAAGGCTGCTGGTGGTGGATGTGGTTTATTCCCCAAGGGTTTAGTACTAGAAGCGTGGTCCTTAGTGTGGTGATCTTGAGGTGGAGGAACCTGTAAGAGGCAGAGCCTAGTGGGAGGTCATGACTGCCCCTCCCCCTCCCTGGCTTCTGCTCTGACCATGTGAGCTCTCCTTCTCACACACGCTGCCACCAGTGTGGTACCACCCTCCACAAGGTCAGGCAGCTCCGGGGAACTTCCCTAGAGCTGGTCTTTCAGCCTCCAAAATACTAAACTAAATAAACTTCTTTTCTTACAAGTACCCAGCTTCAGATATTTTGTTACAGTAATGGAAAGCAGATAATAGGAAGACCAACTGTTCTCAATGCTTACAGGCCATTGTGAGGCTACCTGGAACAAGTAAAAAATTGCCAAGGGTCTCATTCCTAATAGGGTTCAGTGTCTTTCAACCTAAAGGAAAATTCATTAGTGGGTTTACAAAGTCCTCAACCATAAGCACAAGGCTCTCTTCCCTCCTCATTCATTCATTTGCGTTCTACTCACTTTTTGTAATACAAGGGGAACTTTCACTTCAGGGTCTTTCTTTCTGTCATTGTCCAGGAGGACTGTAAGTGGAACTCCAAAAATCCCATTGTCTTCAATGTCACACAGTCACGAGAGAAAGAAAAATAAATAAATAAATAAAATCAGAAAAGTACTGTCTTATTCTAGCATGTCAGTATTAAAAACCAAAGCCATCTGTCTCCTAAGTTACCTCGTCCTTTTACTTTCTCTGTTTTGTTTCTTTTCAGTTGAATTCCAAATGCATCAAAAAAGGCAGTCAATTCAATCAGAGAGAGATGGCGAATTTTCTTCATGTCCTCAGCAGATAGGTCTCCTGCTTCGGTTAAGCCAAGTCTGGTTTTCTGAACAGTGAGTTTCTGAAATAACACAGTGAAGATATTTATTTTTAATGGCAAAGGAAAATTATACTTTCACTCAGATACCACCCAGACACTCTAAACCTATAGAAGAAAACATGCAAAAAGCTCTGAAGAGCATACTGCATCATAAAAATATTATGAGTATGTTTTGAGAACATTTGCAGATCACTATTATGCTAACTAGAAGCAAAACAGTAGTCTGAAGTCCATGATAACAGTGCTATCATAACTGTGGAAATGGCCCTTTAAAGGCAACATGCTGTATTGTCAAGCAACACACATGTCAAGCATCACATGGAATGTACCCACTGTGGGTCCTTAATCTGGATTACATGTGCCACACACAAGCAAAGAACACAACTAAGTGTAGCACAGGAGAGATCTGGATTTTTTTTTTTTGACAATAAATCTCCTTGATTTAGGATTCGTGTATGCTATACTGCATACTTAAAAAGAATTAATAGTCTCCTAATCAAGTTTTGCTTAAAAACCATATTTAGATGATTCCAAATTCTTAAAAAAGAAAAAATTCACAGAAAATACAACTAATCTTACTATGTCTTACTTTTGAAGACAATGATACTGTTATGTTATTCATTTCTACACTAAGAGAGGAAATACACTAAATTAATAACCACAAATCTTAATAACCTAGAAATGTTGTGAAGACTCTAAGGAGCAAGCAAAAGATCATTCATATATAACATCCACAGGTATGCTTTGCTCTCAGAAAATCTGGTATTGAAAAGTATGGTGAAGTAGAAAAATCCTACAGTTATTTAAATTATAAAGCCTCAAGAACACAGTTTCAGGTTCCCTATATTGGAGCTTTTGGGGGTTATTAAACTATATACCCATTCATTCATTCATCAACAATTTTTTCACTCGAACCCCAAGTTTATGTTTGCATGTATTTATATTGTGGTGCTGAGGGTTGAACCCAGGGCCTCATACATGCTAGGCAAGTACCACCACTTATATCCTCACCCAGAACTTCAAGCATTTAAAAGTAAAACCATATGTAGGATGTGCTTTAGGGCATATCTTGTGCTATTAGCAGTTGGTTATTTCACCTTCTTCTTGAAACCAAGGAAGGTCTGGTAGGCTTAGGAGGCTGAATCAGGAGGATCACAAGTTCAAAATCAGCCTCAGCAACTTAGCAAGATCCTGTCTTCAAATAAAATATATTAAAAAAAAAAGAGACTGGGGATGTGGCTCAGTGGTTAAGTGCCCTTGGGTTCAATTCCTGGTACAACAAAACAAAACAAAAAAGTAGTAATACATAATAACAACAATATAAATAAGAACTGCACTCATTTATTGAGCAACTACTGTGTATTAAACCCTATGTCAAGTTCTTCCTAGGGGTCTGACCTATACCCTGAATGAGCCAGACCTCAGAAAGAGACAACTTTGATGAGGAAACCTAGGAGCAATATTCTCTCTTGGAGACCCTTCTGTAACAAAAAGGAAGGACTGTCCTTGAAATCGGACTACTACATAGGCTTCCTTTTCTGTTGCATTCTGCCCTCCCTTATGAAGATTGCTTAGGGACCAGAAAGGGTTTGGAGTTTGACACATTTTAGGCTTTAAATATGTTCTTACAGGGCTTTGGGCATGTTACTTAGCCTCCCTGGGCCTCAGTGTTCTCATTTGTAAAATAGGAGTAATCAATAGGGTCCACTATACAACTAGAACACGTGGCGCAGTGTCAAGCCTGTGGAGGTTGCTCAGGGAGTCTTAGAGCGTTTCCCGTTCCTCTTCTTCTCTCCCTCATGGGCCAGTTGTCTGGGTATGGTCCAGGCTGACTGGTCCAAAAAAAATCTATTTCCAGATGACATTCCTTTAGTCCTGAAACTGCCCAAGTCCTGCTCATCATGCCTCTATCCCTGATAAAAAGAGAATATTCAGGACGCCACATCATGAACTCTTCATATAGGCATTATTTATTGAACAGTGAATACATCAATGTAATATAGCTCTGTGGTAGGTTTTCAGGATAGACCACTCTAGGTGTGTGTGTGTGTGTGTGTGTGTGTGTATGTGTTATCAGTTCTGTCTATCATGTAGTAATATAAATTCCTGAATTGGGTTTGGTAAGCTTCAGTGTCTGTCCTATGAGCTCTACTTCTTATTGTTATGACTATAACTTTCTGCTGTACTCACACCCCCTTTTTTTGTAGTTATATATGGACAGCATACCTTTATTTTATTTGCTTATTTTTAAGTGGTGCTAAGGACTGAACCCAGTACCTCACACATACTAGACAAATGCTCTGCAACACAGCTACAGCCCCAGCCCTGTGCCCCCTTGTGATATGTGATTTATAGAGATAAAAACACATATAGTTAAGGTGTGCACTGACTTATATGTGAATTAAGAATATGAAGTGCAAGAAAACTCACAAACCAGGTGAAAAATCCACTTCATCTGTGCTATAGTATGGATTTTGAATCTACCCCCAAAGTCCCATGAATTAAAGGTCCCCAGCCTGTGGTGCTATTGATGTGTGGTGGAAACAGTAGGAGGTGGAGCCTAGTGGAAGAAAAGTAGGTCATTGGGGGGAGGGTGTCCTTGAAAGGGACATTAGAGCCCTGGCCCTTGCTCTTTGATCTTTGCTTCTTGAACAGCATGGAGTGAGCAGCTCACTCTACCGTGTGCTTCTGCCACGATGGTCTGCCTACCCACAGGCCCCAAAGCAATGGGCCTTCTAACCACAAACTGAAACCTCCCAAACTGTGAGCCAAAATAAATCTTTCTTATTAAGTTGATTTGTCTCAGACATTTATCACAGTTATGGAAAGCTGACTAAAAACAACCTGTCAAGCAGTATTCAAGCATATGTATTCATAACTTTTTTCAACCCAGGACTGCTAGGTACACCCAGGCGAACTGTGCACTACATAATAAATAGTCCCCAAAATGGTGGTATGCAATGCTGAAGCCCACTCTTCCCAGTCTCCTTGAGCATATTCAGACATTAAAAAGAAAATAATCCTTGTTTGGGCTCATGGAACAGAAACAGGAAGTTACTAGAATAACCATGAAAGGTTTGACTTACAGTTAAAGCATAGTCTTCATTCTTAATCTCTGACTTCTTAGATCTATTTCTTTTTGGAGCCTCTGTAACCATTTCTGAATAAGATACTTCAAAGGACACCTCTTCAGTCTCTGCTGGAATGTCCTTTTCCAGATAATCATCTAGAGAAACAAAAGATACAGAATATTTAATATGCCACTTAATCAAGCAGTACCATGTACTGGAAAATAAGCACAAAATATTCACAAAACTACCCACAGCACATCAGTTAAGTAATGCTGTGGTGTCATCAGCTTCCACATGAACAGATTTCTATTGTTATCCAAATGAACTTTCAATATAATCTTATTTTTCAAATTTTAGACTTTTATGTCTCATGAAAGTTTTTGAGGATTAGTCCCCAAGCAGGGTATTTCTATATATTCCTGTGATATTGAAATTAAGCCCATCCAGACCCACTGTCACTTACTGGAGAGTCAGAAGCTTGAAGCAGAGGAAGAAAGAAGAGATTCTGGAATTCCTCTCTACTTTTACTTCTTCCTCTTCTTATTTTTTTTTTTAACTGTGAAATATTTGCCTCTTAAGATGTGTTCAAATTGAATTTTGACTTCACTGCAAGGTGTGTTCAGATGAAATAATCTGAATTTCTTTATTTGATGCTGGTTACCTGACTTTGTATGATACACATTAAGAAGAAGTCTGCTGAGTAATATATATATATATATATATATATATATATATATATATATATATATATATATATATATATATATATAATGCCCTACAGAATTGCTTTTCTCCAGCTAGTCTGAAAATTAGGACAGAAGATTCCTTGACCCAGAACAAAGGAATCCATAAATTATGTGAGCAATCCCATCCTCTGATTATTGATTGATTTTGGCTTGTCATCTTGTTTCACTACCTGGCAAAACTGTTTATGTGCAAAGTAATGATTTATTTGATTACAAAAAGAACTCATTCTCTTTTGCCCTCTTCTATAGACACTGACAATTTGACAAACTGGAACAAAAAGGAACAAAAGGCAGAATTAATGGAAGACCTGATTAATTTTACATTAAAATTTTACATTAAAATTTGGAAACCCAGTAAATGGGTGTGCCATGAATTTCAAAAATGACAAAGTTGTGAGTTTTTATTTGTCATATGGAGGCTTGCCCTCAAAATAGAGGTAGAAAAAATATTAAATAATACTCTAACTTCTTAAGGATAAATGGACAAAGTCTTTGGAGAGCAGCAATTAAACAGGCCAATTCCCCAAAACCAGAGGACCACTGCATACTGATGTTTCTTTTAGAGGCATAATTTGAGCTAGGTTACCATATGGCATTATATACAAATAAATAATAACAAATAAATAATTTCTGGAAATACCTTCTCCTTGATTTGTTTTGTGACAGCTTTATTGAGATACTATTCATGTGCCATGAAATACATCACTTAAAGTGTACAAACCAATGGTTTTTAGCACATTAGTGTTGGACAATCATCATCGAGTCAGTTTTGGAACATTTCATCAACTCTATTTCTTTGAATTGTGATGGGAATGCTGAAAGTACAGGCTGTTTTTAGAAGATGATTGCACATACTTCCGGAAAACTTTGAGCAATCACAAAAGTACATGGCCCTCAAGAGCCTGTTTCCATCTATCAGGTGGATTTGAGATTCCATTCTGAGCCATGTAGGGAGCCCACCTCTCAGAAAGAAAAGACCCAGATAAAAGCTACCGCTGTAATCCTGTATGTTGCTAGCTGCTCAAAAAACGTGTTCCTGAGCAGTAATTAGGGAGTCTTGGAAGTGGCCTGCTTCCTGGTTTTCCTGCAACTGCTGGGCAGAGGCCTCAAGTCAAAGACACTGCTTAAGTGAGGAGTTTCTAAATTGGTGATAATTGGCTGGTGATAGAGGAGGAAGAAACTCTGCTTCCAGCATGGCTATTAGTTTTGTCTTCTGTGACAGAATCAAGTGTTGGAAGGTGAGAGGAAAGAGAGAATACTGGAAGCAATAGAATAATAATGGGGAGAAAAACATACTTTTTTGCTTTTAAAAATTCACTACTGGGAGGAAGAGGGATGGGGAAAGTTGGTCGATGGGTACTAAGTTGCAGTCAGGAGCAGGGAGTTCTGGTGTGCTATCATATGGTAAGGTTTCTAGAAAAGATGATAATGAACTGTAAATTCCAAAAAAATTTTAAGAAAGGAGTTTGAAAGTTTTCACCACAAAGAAATGATGTTTGGGTGACAGTCTATTTAACCTGATGGAACCATTACCCCATGTATGCATATATTGAAACATCACATGGTAACCCACTAATAAGTATACTGTTTTATGTATTTATATATTGGTATAAAAATAAATGTATTAAAAGTAACAGTTAAAAAAGGAAACTCATTACTGTGTCAAGTTCCCAAACACAAGTGAGAAGACACAGCTTAAGTTCAATAGGTGATCATGTTACTCACCACTCAATGCACTATGAGCTGACTGCCCCGCATCTGCAGACCCATTGGAATGAACTGGTACATCTGGAATAGCCTCCAGTATGGACTGCTAAGCAAGGGAAAATGAGCACAGAACATTATACCACAAATATAGGCTACCCATAATTTCACTCTGACTCACGTAAGAGTTCTTTTCACACACACAAAGTTCTTGATTTCATAGCTGGTCTGCATTAATTTTCATTGTCACTGCATTCAGTTTAGATGTGTTCCATTTGGGTTTCTCAAAATGGAACAGTGTCAAGGTCAATATAAGCCTGCTTTCTTAGCTCTTCAATATTTGCTATTTAACCTTTGCTAAGATATACAAATTATAAAACTTGATGTCATACAACTTGGAAATTATTTGATTTGCTAATCTTGATGCATTTGTCTTTATTAAGTATATTACAAATATTAACAGGTTAATTCTCTCACTGCAAAACACACAGACAATAACAAAAATTAAGTATCTTTTCTAATTTTGTTTCTCTTCTTAATCAACTTAGTACTTTCTTCACTGAAATCCTGTCAAAGCATTTAACTTGGCTGCAATGTCATCAGAAGTTGAGTATCTCTTTGTTCAGGTCCAGTTGGATATGTGAAAAATTTACACAGAAATTCTAACAAATTCTATAAATTTTCATGTGAGAGTTATCTGTGAATTATGTGTGACAATGAAAATCTCCTATTTGGTCAAGAATTTTTTGTATGATATTCACACATAAAATCTGTTCTTTTTGTCCCCTAGAGCTTGATGTTGTTTCTTTTATTCTCATATTTATTTGGCAATAACTGAACATCTGTTTCATAAAAGATCCTTTATCATGTTTTCTACAAATCACACAAGGGAGTCTCAAATTCTGAGCCTGATATTCTCTTTCATTTCAAAGGAGCTTATATACTTTTAATTGTATAAATAGATTGCCAATTATTAAAACACAGGTGCCCAAATACTGTAATGAACGGGAATAAAGACAAAAAAGTCCAAAGGCTATATAAGAGCTATGTAGTTCACTGTCAGATTTGTAGTGGCTCTAAAATCTACAACATAGAATAAAGCTTATTTACTGTTATAGTTTAGATCTGGAATCTCCCCCTAAAGTCCCAAGTATTAAAGGCTTGGTCCCCAGCTTAGAGCAATTAGGGGTAGTGGAACCTTTAAGAAGTGAAGCCAAAATAGAGGGCCATAGGTCAATGGGGGAGTGCCCATGAAGGGGATATTAGGAACTTGATCCCTCCTCTTCCTCTCTTCTCTGCTTCCAGCTGCCAAGAGGGAAGTGCCTTGCTCTTCTGCGCACTCCAGCCAGGATGTGTTGCCTTGCCACAGGCCCCAAAGCACTGGGACTGACAGACTGTGGACTAAAACCTCTAAAATTGTAAGCTAAATAGACCTTTCCTCCTTCTAAGTTGATAATCTCAGGATTTTGTTGTCATAATAGAAAGCTGACTAATGTATCCACATATGAATATCCTTGAAAAGATGGGGACAACTTTTCAGTGGTTTCCTAAAGTTTTCCAACAAAGAAATGCTTTGTCAGCCTTAAAATGACTCCCTGGTGGGAGGGAAGACTCTTTGGAAAATTGAGAAACGTTTAATTTATTGATGCATTTGAGAATTTATTGAGAATTTAAAGCTGAAGGCTTAGGATGCTTAAACTCACTGAATTGTTAGTTTCTTAATCTGTGGAGAAGAGTCCATCTACTCAGTGTAATCGGCCTCTAGCCAGCCTATTGTACTGATGACTGTCTGTTCTTTGTAATATAAATTACTGTGGGGCAGAAGTTTGAGTCATAATGCCTCCTCTTGGACCACTTACAATGAGGAGGACAGAATAACACATAGGGAACACTATTAGAAGACACACAATCCACTGTTAAGAACTTATTTCTATAAAGTATAAGTATTATTGGAAAATGATTCAGAGGGAAGAGGAGCTGCCCAGAAGGTTTTTGTGGATGAAGTGGTTGAACCTGAGCTTGAACCAAGGGACAAAGAAAAGGACTTACAGAGGCAGAGGACAGGGAAAATATTCAGGCCAGAAACAGAAGAATAAATTTCAGACATGGACAAAGCTGAAGTGTTTCAGCACAAGGATCATGGAGAGCAGGGTACTCCAGGAGTTGAGTCATAGTATTAGATAAATATAAGAGAGAAATTAATCAAGAGGATCAGCTCCAATTATGGAAGGGGCTAAAAGCCAAATAGAAACCCTGGGACTTAGAATCATAAGAGTTAAAAATAAAACAGAAAAAACAAAGGAGCTCTCTGCTATTTATTTATTCATTCATTCATTCATTTTTGCACTGGGGATTGAACTTAGGGGTACTTAGCCACCGAGCCACATCCCTACCCCTTTTTCATATTTTATTTAGAGACAGGTCTTGCTAAGTTGCTTAGGGCCTTGCTAAGTTGCTGAGGCTGACTTTGAACTTACAATCCTCCTGCCTCAGTTTTCTCAGCTGCTGGGATTATAAGTGTGCACCACCACAACCAGCAGCCCTCTCCTTTTAAAATCACTCAGTGAAAATGGAGAAGGAAGATGAGCCTGCCCACAAAGGGTCCTTGAGTTTTGAAATAGGTCAAGTAGAGAGGCTAGATGCTTAGCATTTATATGGTTATCCCTCAAGATTCACGGGGGACTGGTTCCAGGAGCCCCTATGGATATAAAAAAATCGTGGATACTCAAGTCTTTTCTATAAAATAACCTACATACCTCTTTCTGTATACTTAAAATCATCTCTAGATTGCTTGTATATTTGTACTAGTACAATATAGGTGCTATGAAAACAGATGCTATGCTATATGTCTTATGGAACAATGAAAATGGAAAAACATTTGGACATGTTCAAGATAAATGCAACTTAAAAAATATATCTGATCTGCAGTTGGTGGAATCTGCTGTTACATCTATTTATTTTAATAGACGCTAGATGATCATTTGATATAATGCACACTCCATTCCAGATTAAACAATTGCAAGTTTTAAAACCAAGAAATATTTTACTTAGTGATGAGACATTAGAAGAAAAGTTCTAATTTTTTTAAGAGGTAGGCATGGCCTTTGGTGAGCTGATCTGGAAGAAAAAAATTTCTAAAGAAAAAGAAATCTTGCATGTAGATTTTTATGAGTGTGAACTCACTGTAACAGATTTTTAAAACAAACCATAGAAATAGACCCTTAAAAAAGTGGGGATTTTACTTATCTTAATAAAGGTGGCATCTCAAATATGTAAAGAAGATTACAGATTGAGGGAAAAAAAAGGTACTAGTCAAGTTGAGGCATAGTTTTGGGAAAGATAAAGTCAGATTACATACTTTATGCCATTTCATAACATAAATTCAAATAGGGCAATTCTTGGGGCCTCCTGAAGTCTTGAAGAGACAGTAAGGTGTCTTTCAGAATTCATCCTGGCAGGATAGACCCCCAACCCTTAATCCTACTTCACTCAATTACTAAAAATCCCACCATCTCAAGAGACCTGGGAGTCAAACTGGGGTGCCTGTAGTTCTTTTATAAGCAAGAACCATGTGGCTTACAAAAGTAGTTACCTCATGGTAAGAAGGCCTAGGATCCTTTCAGGACAAGTACAGTGGGGGTGAAGTCAGTATCTGAGGGCTACTCTAGCAACAAACCATTTTGTATAGCATTTCTAAATAAAGATATCCTCAGTAACAAAGAATCCAAAGTAAGTCAAGAGATTGATGCCAATGAGACAGTTTTAGGCCCAGCAGTGCTCTATTTATGTCATTATTGGTATCAAATTTGTTTTCTGAAAAACAAAAATGAAATCTGAGTGTTTAATTTGCTGTGGACAGCTCTACCTGTAAGTGCCATGCAAGATCATTTTCTTTCTTTCACATCCTCAAACTTCCAAGCACCCTATTTTAGACAATAGGTTCTCTTTCTTTTTTCCTTTTTAAATTTTCTATGTTTGTTTTATGTGTGTGTGTGTGTGACATTTTTGAAAAGCTTTTTCTTTTCTTTTTGCTTAAATTTTTTTTTGTTTTGCTTTGTAGACAATATGTTCTCAATAATGATTGTCAAATGAATGAATGAATCAATCATATGGAAAGTTAGCAGAAAAAAATGAAGAAATGGAAAAACATAACTAGCACCAGTCTTATTAGTAATAAAATTGTGGTCATATCTCCTATAGAAACTTAAAACACAAGGATTATCTGCCTCTTCTTCAGCACCCAATTATGCAATCACCCTACTCCAAGTTATGCTCAGTACATACATGGAACCACCCACCTGCAGACCTTTGTTGCTGGCTTGAACAAGACACTGAGCTTATTAAAGTCAGCTAGAGATGCAGACAGGGGTAGGACTATGTCAGGAGCTTTCAAGTTAACTGCAGGGTGCTGGATAAACACTGTAGCCTTAAAGCAAGTCTTGCATTTTATATTGGTGACTTGCAGCTATGGGAAGGATGGGCTGGAAGGGTACAAAGCTAAGGACTGGGAGATGCCTTATGTGGCTACTTCAGCAATGCAGAAAGTAGTTTCCACACTAAAGAAGTAGTTTTCACACTAAAGAAGTAGTTTTAAGAAAGGCAGAGGGTAGAAATATTCTACAGCCATTCACATGATAAATCCACAGGTCTCAGAGATGGACAGGAAAAAGTGAGAAGGCAAAGTTACAGTTGATGCAAAGGGATAATTCGTGGGCATATGGGTGCTACCAGCTAAGGTGGAAGATAAAGGATCCTGGGAAAGGGCTAGATCAGGAAGCCTCAGTTCCAGGGATACAATATAATTGTGTTAGATCTACTACCGGGAACTCCTTCTGATAGTTACCAGAGTTTGTGAATGATTTACTTTGTTTTCATTAATAAATAGGGTGAATTTGAGATGATATCTAAAATAGAGACATTCTAGTTTATTTTCATTCCAATGCAAGGTCTCACATGAGAAAAGAAAATACAAACTTTCATCTAGTAGGTCAGAAATTGTGGGTATCCTTCAGCCTATCTGTGACATAGCTTACAGAGTTACTGATTATTCATGGTAAAAACAATTCACATTATTTTATTCTTCTTAAATGGGGATATCTTGGGAGTGTGTCATGTAAGTGAATGTCAGCTATCTTGTTTTCAAAATGGGCAATGATTGACAAACTATTGCCCAAAGGAACATTTGAGGGTGTTACCTCCATCTGACTGTCATTGACTAGCTGCTACCACTGAAGAGGCCTTTCTAATGGGGTCTTTCACTGTCTTTTGAGGAGTCCATCACATCTACCCTGTCAGAGCACAAGCTCTGAGACACTGAGCAGAAGTTCTTGGTAGAGGGAACTGGAGGGGGAGTGACAAGAATTTCTAACAAATAAAAGTACACATTCTGTTACTTAAGGTCAAGTAAGATCAGGAGCCCTCAGTCACGGGGATAAAGAGAAAGAGTCTGCATGAGTGAGCCCTGAAAACTAAGGCTGGAAATGTATGCAAAATCCGAGAGTCTTCAAAATCAGGAGGAAGGTTTTAAATTTATCCTGTGGATAAAGAGACTTCTAGGTTAAGGTGGCGAAGGTAAGCCAGATCATTGAGCCTCTGGTATTTTTTTTATGTGAGGAGGACCAAAATTAACAAGTTCCACTAGGCCTGCAAAGAACACCTTTTGGTTTCTGGACACAGTGGTATTAGTTTTTGCAGTCACCTTTCATTTCATCATTCCTAAGTTTTGAGTCACGTTCCTGATTGTTACAAGGTTGGGTGGGGGGGTCTGCCAGCAGCTGTGGCTTCTTTGAAATCCTAGGTCAAGTTCTGCTTTTTAATTTGTCTTGGAGAAATCACTTCTTCTTACCTTTCTTCATTAATTGCCTAGACTTATGATTTTTGCCTTCACATGCAATTATATTAGCATGAAAGAACTTACCATGGAGCCGATCCTAGGATCTACAAAACTCCCTTCTTCATTCCGGGACCCATTGGGCAGGGTAGTACTGCTGAGAGAAGCATCATCTGGCTAAATGGAGAAATGAAAGTACCGTTCTTATTCAGGCAAATGCTTTCTAATGTGGTTGTGCATTCCACTGTATCTACATATTGAGACATGTGTGGAATATATGAATCAATGACTGCCTGGGCACTGACAGGTACAGCCTTGCTGTGAGCCATTTGAATGCCAGTCCCTCTCACAGAAACTGATCTCTGTGGCAAACAGTGCTGTTATCTGCCACAAACTTCATTTGCTTCAATACTACCTTGGTTTAATTCCAGAGAGCTAGATGATAAATTCAAAACCTTGATCTCTAGGTTCATTTGCAGCTAAGAGAGATCATGTGACTAGTGTGGCCAATAAAATGTAACAATAAACTTACCAAGAGAGCTTCTGGGAAAGCTAAGGCTTTCCTGATCAAAACCAAACCAACCAACAAACAAAAAATCTCAGCTGGTATATGCTCGTGACAGGACCACAGCCTAGAGTTGTCAGGTATTTTGTACAAATAAGGATCATAGGGATGATGATTCTGTAGATCTGGTTGTGTCTATGAGAAGAGGGCATCACATGGCTGCCCCATCAGACCTGGTCCACCTATGCTAAGTATCTCCATGGGAAGCAAAACAACTGCTTTTTTTTTTTTTATTACATGCACCCAAATGCAAACTTAATTGATCTAATACTTTTTGGTTCATTTTTGCAAATTCTATGACTGTTTTTTTTTTTTTAGTGAATAGAATTCAGTAGCAATGGTACCAACTCTTTTTTTCTTTGTCATTCATAAAGCTCGTACTGTTTTTTTTCCTGTAATGTACAATGATTATACTGAAATTAAAAGATAACATTATTTTCTTTGCCAAAGGAAACATCACAAAATTGAATATATTTGATACTTATGAAAACATACAATGTTTTCTTTTTAAATAACCGTCAATCTTCAATTCATTTGACCAATTTTCTCAACTCATTTGACCATATTTTCTCAATTCTCATATAGATGGCCTGTATTTCTTTTATAAAATGAATAAAGAACTTTTCTTTAAAGAAACAAATAAAACCCAAGACCTAGCACAAGAAATTTGAACCAAGATGGAAAACATCTACCTCCCTGTCCTCCCCATATCACTACAAATGGCAGGAAAAACATACATACATACACACACACACACACACACACACGAACAGATTTTTAACAGCACTGGATTATCAGCAGAGAATTCTGTAGCAGAAAACTTGAAGAAATTTCTGGATGTAATACAAATGGGATTAGTTTGGGAGGATAAAAACCTCTGCCTAAAAGTAGCATAAAAGAAAATTTCTCAGGACAGAAGAGAAAAATAAATAATAAAGAAGAGAACACAGGCAAATTATTAAGAAATGTTTGCAAAAACGGAAGCCACATAGACCTTCCCTTCCTTAAAAATGTAGATAATCCTTAAATATAATCCTAGGAAAATGCAAAAAAATACAATCTAAACAAAATGATCTAAGTGTTTGGGGTGGATGGGTTTCTAGTGTGGGCCCAAAGGTCTAAAGGAAAAGGAACTCCAGAAGTCACAATGAAGACATGGAGGGGAGAACAAAAGCAGAAATCAGCTTTGCCCAGAAGTAAAAAACTAAGAGTTCTTCATCTCCCTCATTGGTTTTGCAATGAGAGTGTGTAACCAATTTACCCACTCTACACACCTTAAAGTTTAGCATATTCCAATATTCACTTAGATGAACTCACAATCGACAATATTCGCATTTTGGAAAAATAAATCTACCTAACAGTACAGGAAACATCAAATAATTTCCTACACCAATCAAAAAAAAAAAAAAATCAATGAAGTCTAGCTCTGCAGAAAACTTCAGAAATTCAGAGAGCTGTTATGTCCATCTGCAAATGTGCTCAAATCTTCTGCCCTGTGGAACACCTTTCCACTGTGTTTCCTTGGATGGAATCTTTGGGTGGATCTACCACCCTCCTTTGTGACAGGGTGCTCATAGGCTAGGGAAGGGCCTGGGGAACTGAACAGGAAGAAAAACTCCTAGGACCCACAGTCTTGATCAGAAGTTCTCCATCCACTGGAGGACATTCGCTGCCACTCAATAGGAGGTGTGCAGTTTCCGGACCAGATGGTGCTTATGTTCCAGCAGATACGTCACTGTTTACATCAATACTGCTACATATTGCAAAAGCTACCATGTTCTCTCCACGGAATATTTACATTTGGAAAATCACTGGAAAACACTAAATGTTTATATCTTAGTCAATACTGAAAATACTGCAAAGAATTTTACAGGGTTGTCCGTAAAGCTTACCCATGAAGACCAAGCTTTAGTTGACAACAACCAACACACAGGATGTACATAAACTATTTTTGCTATTGTTATGTCTGCCTATAGATTATTTTAAAGATAGAATTTAGTTATTTTGGATTTACCCATAAAATTATTACTTGCTGAATTTAAGAACCAAGAATGATGAGGCTGTATTTGTGTTTATCAAAAATCTCAATTATGTGGCATCAATACCCAGGAGAAATAAAAATACACATTCTTTATATTGTATTAATGTTCATGGCAGCATTGCTTACAATAGCTCCAAACTGGAAATAATCCTAATGTCCATCAGTAGGTGAATAAATATGCCAATAGTGTCATATTGGTACAATGGATTACTATTAGTTATAATAGGACTACATAAAATATATCTTAAAATTATGATCATTAATTTAAAAAGCAGATTCAAAAGAGTATTTTATGATTCCATCTATGTGGAAGGGGAAACCAACCTAATATGTTAGGAATCACAGCAGGGTTTACCTCTAAGGGAGAGAAGGAACACTGACCAAGAGGAACACTGCTCCTAACAGAAACATCAGCACAATTTCTAGAGTTTCCTAGCTATCTTGTAAGAATAAGGGTTAACTCCACATGCTAAGGTGGCATTGTTCAAAGGAAAAGGCCAGAGGTCCATGGTAAAGTTGCCACTGCACCCTGCTCCAGCTGAACCAGCTTTGGTTTATCCACCATCGGTTTGATGGTGGGATGAAAATATTCTACATTTTGGTAGATTAACACATTTGTTAACATTAATTGAATTATGTACCAAAAGTATATGCACTTATTATGTGTAAATTATGCCTCAACATCAAAAAGCTTAAAAATTTTTGACTCTGAAAAATAATTTAATTCTTATCTTCAGAGATAAGATATCTTATCTTCAGAAATAAGATAAGTAGCTATGGGTAATCTGAAATAGAACATACTACTATAACAGTGAGTAAATCAGAGAGAAACATGTTTTTCTTAGGAAATAAGAATATGTTTGCTGATATTTACAAATAGAGTGAGGCAAGAAAAATAATAACAACCAAGAAAAATATTAAATCTAGAATATAAGGATGAAAAAAATCTAGAAGACAGAATGAACAGACATACATGAGAGAAAGTTTAGGAAATAACAATAATAATAAATTTTAATAATTCAGGCAAAGCAACAATGATGTATTCTAAAAGGATGGGACTTAGAAAATGGGGAGAAAAAAATAATTGTAGACATAATGAAAGACAATGTCTAGAAACTGAAGAAAACAATTCTCAGATGGAAAGTATCCACTGAGCGTTGATAAGAAATGAAGGAAATGAAGAACAAATCTTTGTGGAAGTTCAGAACTGCTGGTGGAAGAGGAAGCACATCCTTAACATTTTTCAAATTCATAAAATTGAAACAGTTGCAAGAGAGGGTAAACAAATAAAAATCCTAGAGAAGCTTATATAAAAAGAAACAAGGTTCCGGCAACTAAAATAAGAAAAACAGAAAACAAAAGCAAATGTCTTGTGAAAAGTGTCAAAATCTGTTAATGAAAAATAAAAGAAATTCTACTGTGCAGGTTTTCCACAGAACTAAGATTTTGTGTTAAAAATGAACAGTTAGTTGCACATGGTCCTAACAGAAACATCAGCACAGTTTCTAGAGTTTCCTAGCCATCTTGTAAGAATAAGGGTTAACTCCACATGCTAAGGTGGCACTGTGCACAGGAAAAGGCCAGAGGTCCATGGGAAAGTTGCCACTGCACCCTGCTGCAGCTGTACCAGCTTTGGTTCATCCACCATCGGTTTCTTACTTTGTGATTAAAACAAACTCCTACTTGTTTAAATCAAGGTTCCTTAGATTTTCTTTTATAGGAAGCAAACACAGATGCAACTGATGATTTTTAACAGATGGTGTGATTGTATTTTGCAGTGAATTATGAAACAATAGCAAGTGTAGCTATTTGATTTTCACTTAAGACACTGGAAATAAACAAGATTGATTACTTTGCCTTTTCAATAAACTAACATCTCCACTGAATATTTCATTTATCTTGGCTGAACATAAGGGAAATGTCTTCTTTTAACTATATAAGAAGTGATTTGTAGATGAGGTTTCGGATGCTGGCAGACTGGATTGTAAATCTTTTATAAATGCAGATTTAGGGGCATTTGTGGAAGAGTCAAGGGTCAGCCACATCTAATACATGAATAGACTACTCATTTATTTATTGTAAGTAGTTTACTTCAAAATAAATGTTGACTATAAATAAAATCATAGTCCTTTATGAGGACTCCTTTGAACACTTGTTCAAAGTTCAAAAGATTTTCTCAATAAACTTATTATCAAGATACTGCCAATATACAATTAAGTGCATATTTAAAACACAATTAAGTGAAAATTTAAACTGCAATATTTAAGGAGTACACATCATACAATCTGATAATATTTGACAAAAATTATAGTCAAGATAATAATAATGAACAAGATCTCTCCTCTCCTCCCCTCCCCCCTTCACCTTCCCCAGATCGCTGGCAATTCACTGAGCTTTCTGTCACTCTATGTTAGTTCCACTTTCTATAATTTTATATATATTGAATATTTTTTGGTCTGGCTTCCTTTACATGGCATGATTATTTTGAGGTCCATCCATGCTAAATGTAGACAGTTCATTGCTTTTTACTGCTGAGTAGTATTCCACTGTGTGGACATACTATAGTTGTTTATCCATTTACCAGTAGGTGGACATCCGGGCTGTTTTCAGTTTGGGGCTATTACAAATATAACTACATTTAAACAGTCTTTGTATGGATATGTACCACCTGCTGGTGGAAGGGTAAGTACATCCTTAACACTTTAAGAAGCTGCTAAATCATCTTTCAAAGTGGGTGAGTCACCTACATTCTCAGCGTAAAAAAGGTCCAGTTGCTCTGAATTCTTGGCACTGCTCAATGAGGTCAGTCTTTTCCATTTGAGCCATTCCACAGGGAATCTAGAGAGATCTCGCTATGGCTTTATTTGCGTTTCTATGATCATTAATGATAGTACATTTTCGTGAACTTATGGGCCATCTAGGTGCTTTCTTTGAAGAAGTGCCTGCTGCCCATTCTAAAAGGCAAGAAAAGACCTAACAAATGTTGACACTGGAAGACTTAGGGTATGTGCCTGGGAGAGAAAGTTGATTTGTTTTTAGAAGTAGATGGTTCCTGAGGTTAATTCAAGGGAACCAAGGGTTGGAAATACCAGCAAAGAGCAGATGGTGAAGCACTTTCAGTATCCAAAGGAGTTTTTATATTTTTTCTGTAAATGAGAGGGATTATAATCTGGGAAACAATGGTAGTTAGCCAGCTGACCAACCCTCCCTTCTCCTAAAACCTAACAGAAGCAACAAGATGTAGCTAAAAGACAGGAAAGAATAAGCATAGCAGCATTCATATAAGTCAGAGAGAGAGATTTCAGAAATAATGTGGATTCTTTCCCCAAATCTACCTCTTGCCTCATTAACACAAGCACAAGGATGAAGCAAATGCAGAAAATTCTGGAAATGATTACACAGTAGTATCTCCTCTGAAGCAGGAAACATAATAACTAGAGGTATGAGTAGCCACGGGTACGTTTAATCTGTGACTACCCTTTCAAACTAAAAGTCTCTGCTCAACATCATCTCTGCAGAGAAGAAAGGACCTATTGGGATTTGCCAGTTTGCTTTTTTTCTATCTGGGAAGAAGTCGGGAGAGGGGCTAAGAAGATGGAAAAATAAAAGGGAAAATAAATTACATAAACTCTAGACTGGGAGAGAAAAGATAGCTTAGGCTAGGCTACAAGTAGAAACAGATGAGAAAAATCAGTGGATGAGGGATAAATACAGCAACCTTTCCCCACTGTACTTTAATAGAGGCCTGATCATTGTCCTTGGCTGGCCTGACTTTGCCCTGCTCTGGTTAACCCCAAAGAGAAGTGGCTTTCTGGGGAAGGTGAGGGAATAGGGAAGAGAGAGGGGAACTGGACACCTCAGGTGAAGTGCTGTCCTCATAAGGGGACGGATATCTACCTGCAGCGGGGAACAAAAAGAACATGCAGAAACAAGAGCCTGTTGCAGCAGGCAGACTTGTAACTCAGTGGTACTAAGACTCCTAAGAGAATTTTTATAAATTAAAGAAAAAAAATGTAAGGACATTAACTGTATCAAAAAAGAAATGCTTTCAAATCATAGAGTTCCTCCGTGTATGTCTATTTTCATAAAATAATGGATTTATTTGTGGATTTACGTATTAAACTTGACCTTATTTGCTGCTGAATATTTTTCTTACAAATTGATCAAGGGTAGACAGATATGTTGAAAGCTGTGGTTGTCCAACCATCTTAATCACACCACAATTTTTCCAAGGCTTGCATGATTGTCTTGAAGAAATGGCTGCTTCTTTCATTCCTACTCGCAGTTCCCATTCTGTAACTTACCACAGGACCACTCATTTGGATAACTTCTGGTACCTCTTTTTCTTCCTCAGTGCCACCCAACTGAGCAGTATGGTTGTCACAAGCATCATCTGGCTAATAAAAAAAAAAAAGAAGAAGAAGAAGAAGAAGAAGAAAGAAAGTCGTTTTTATCCAGGCATTTATCTTTCCAAATGTGACAGTGCATTCCATTATGCATTCCACCAGCATTTGTATGTATCTGTGCAGTTGTGTGGAGATAGATAATGACTACCTGTGGTTTGATAATAGCACTTACCAATTTTCCCATAACCATATTGATTCTCATAAATGCCATGCACTATAATAGAATTGGTCTCAAAAATAAAGACACTGCCAACTGCCTGCCAAAATCCCCTTTTGTTTAATAACTTATGAATATCATGATTTTGTTCCATGGACAAAAAGACTTAAGTGTCATCCTGTGATGGCTACATCCAATTAGATAAGAATGAAATTCTACTTGGTAGAGCATCCAACAGTGTTTTCTTATTGGAATGGAAGAATTCAGTTGACTAGTGCTTCTTCCAGGAACATAGACAGGGAACCGAGATGCCCAGACATCCTGTCCTATAAGTAAAAGCTATTAGCCTGTATGCTAAGGGAACAGAATGAAACCATAAAAGAATTGGTAGATTCATTCTACCACAGCCATTCCAGCCTTGACCTTCCTACCTCGAACTACTTATTTTAAAATAAAAGTAAGCCTCTAATTGTCTAATGATTCACCTCACTGACTAATACCATGTGGTTTTAAAAGCAGACTTTATGGCTACATTTTGCAGTGGTTTATAAATCCATAGCAAAAAATAGTCCATCTTTTTTCTATTACGAGAGTGAAAATATATTAGAACAAGTACTTTATGAATACATAGGACTGAACTAAATATTTTATTCCCATTCACTGAATATTGGAAAAGCTCTAATTTTCATTATGCAGGAAGTGTATTTAGAAACTAGGTTTCTGATTGTGATGGACTGCACTGCAGGCCTGTGCATGAGCTCTAAGATTTAGCAGCATCTGTAATAGAGGAATTCTTCCCAATAAAATGCAAATATTACATTCCATGGTTGAAGCAACTTTTTGCAAAATTAAACATACTGGATATTACTAAAATCATGTATACATGAAACTTTAGAAGGTGTTATTTTTCATCTTGTTTCTCTGTGTTATCTAACTTTCCCCCAAAGTGCACATATTATATAAATAGAAAAGCATCTGTTTTTAGTGGCAAACAATGCTTAAGAAGAAGCAGAAGCAGTTTTGGTCAGAAGACTGAGCACATACCACCTACCCTCCTCCACCCAATCACTCATTATTAAGAAGGTGTGTATTTTGATAAGAACAGGTTCAGAATGGCACTAGAAACAACAAAGTGTTCTAATGACAGATCAGAATTTTTGTTAGAGATACCTGGAAAATCACAAGTAAATAATTTGAAAATTGTGGGGCTATTCTCAGCCTAAGAACAACATAAGGCCATATTTCTGGCATGGAGAGGACAGATCCATAGGAAACTGCAAACAACAAATAAACAGCTCAAATGAAAAATACAAAGGGCAAGGCTAGGGTAGTTTATTATAAGTATTTCTCAGGAAATGGCAGGAGAGACCTCTACCTAGCCCCCATGAATAGCTTGGAATAGCTATATATGAATTTAAGAGAAGCACTCTAAACAAAGTGTACTTTGGGGGGAAGAATTCCAGGACAGATGTTCAGACTTGGGACCAAAACAGACCTCAATATCAGGTTGCTCTGGACCTTTACGGAAGGGAGAATAAAAGGAAAACATCAATTCTGTGTGGAACAGAAAGAATTCATGAAATTATTCACCCCTCCCTTTAGGCATTCAGGTGTGTGCTTGTGCTATGGTTTGAATGGTCCCTCAAAAAAGCATGTGTTGGAAATACAATTTCCAATGTAGCAGTATTAAGAGGTAGAGCTTTAAAGAGTGGAATGGGACACAAAGGCACCTGTGAGAATGCCCTCCGACTCTTTGTCTTCCACCTTCAACTGTGGGATGATGGAGCCCAAAGGCCCTCCCTAGATGCCAGCCCAGCTCCCAAAGTTTGGAGTTTCCCCAGTTTTGGAGAATGGTAAGAAATCAATCTGTGTTGTTGATACATTACCCAGGCTGTGATATTCTATGATAGAGGAAATGGATTAAGATTGTGTGTGTGTGTGTGTGTGTGTCTACTTTTGCATGTGTGCTATCAAACTAATTCCCATTTATACACTGCACACATACTGTATTGATTTACCCAAGACCCATAGTCAGTTTTTCAAATCAACATTCAGTAAAAGAAATACAGTGTGATATATATCCTGATAGAAACAGATAGTTGAGAGAAGAAAGTTTGTAATGACTTAATATTTTCAGAAATTTGAAAGGATATTGCAATCATAAATCAGCACTGTAACAAAAAAAAGGAAATCAGTGAAAATGGAGGAGTTCTTGTGTATTAATAGTATGACTGCTGAATTAAAAATATCAAGGGGCTAAGTTATATCCATTCATGGCAAAAAAAAAATAGAAATAGGGACCCAATTTTGTGGACAAAATCTACTTGCACACAGAGAAAAAAAAGATATGGAAAAATATAAGAAACAATTTAAGAAATATGTGAGTTTAATCTAAGCAAGTAAAGGAAGAACATAAAAAATGGGAAGAAATAAGAAACAAAAGGAGGAGAATGTTCGAAATTGAAAGGAATCATTTTTAAAAACAAAAATACTTGAGTGCTGACCACGAGGAAAAACAAAAACATTTTCTATCTGGATGATATTTCAGGTCTCAGAAATAAAGCTATACCCCAAAAGCTCCCAGAACTCTAAAAAATGAAAGTAGAAAATAAATAAAGGAGTAAAACTTAACTTCTCAACAATAAGGCAAATGGGCTAATATCTAGAAACTTCTACAGGAGCCAAATTTAGGCTCTAGGATCTTGATATTCACCAATTTAGGATTTATGTTTTTTGGATCTGAAAATTTAGTATCCAGAGACATTTGCTGCCAGATATGCTCAAAAGTTAGAAGGTAAAGTCTGCTAAAATGTAATAATTTATAATACATGTGATTATGTAATTGATATTTTTATTATTCTCTGTAGTGACTTCATTATCTAGCTAGCCTTCATCATGTGCCTGTATGAAAAACCAAGACAGATGGTCCCTGATATCAATGGGTCCACTCACAATTTTTCAACTTTAGGATGGACGTGAAAGATATACATGCTTGGTAGAAACTGTACATTGAGTCTTGAATTTGGATCTTTTCCTGAGCTAACTATATGAAGTCCGAACCTCTCTCAAGGCTGGGCAGGAGTTATCCAGGGCCTGAGGGGAAACTCTCTGAGATGGAGCTCAAGATGGAACTCCTTCACTTACACCTAAGCTACAGCCAAAAGGTCAGCATGACTGGCTTGTAATGTTCAGGTTAGGTGTAATATGTGAAATTTTTTAAAAAATATTTTTAAATTGTTGATAGACCTTTATTTATTTATTTGTTTGTTTGTTTATATGTGGTGCTGAGAATTGAACCCAGTGCCTCCCACACGCCAGACAAATATACTACCATGGAGCCCCAGCCGCAGCCCTACATACCCGGGGCCTTACCCATGTTAGGTGAGCATCTTGCTACTGCACTCCACCCCAGCCCTTCAGTGCATTTGTGTGTGTGTGTGTGTGTGTGTATGTATGTGTGGTGTTGGGGATCAAACCCCCTTTGATGCATTTTTGACTTAATATTTTCAACTTATGATGGTTTTATCAGACCTAGCCCCAGGAGCCCCATCATAAGACTGGAACATCTCTCCTTGCTTTCTCATTCTAGAAACTGACCAGCAGTGCAGGGGTGAGGCTGGAATTAAAACTTAAATACTCTCTTCCATCTCAGTGAGAAGTTTATACATATATTTGGCACTATCGTTGCCCCATGACTAACCTTTCAAAGGTGACCTTCAAGGGTTTAAACAAAAGGAATAGTGAAAGACAACTGGCAGAAGAGTGTGCTGGCAGTAAGAGACTGGGACGGAAAGGGACGCTGGAGCTTTGCTGCAGTCCTGTGTCATTGTGGCTACCTTTGGGCCTTTTGGCACTTAATGATTCACTCTCTGAGATGGAGCTCAAGATGGAACCCCTTCACTTACACCAAAGCTACAGCCAAAAGGTCAGCATGACTTAGCAGGGAGGGGTGGACACAGCAGATGAAGGGCAAATGGAGGGTGGGTTAATGTCCCCATAAGACTGATAAAAAATTATTTCATGGACTTTCAGTTCAAAGGCCAGCCGTTCCCCTACTGAGTAACTGAACTACCATGTCTTGCCTTCTAACCATTATCACTGCTTTTGATTGTGCATTAAATTAATTTTTAGGCTAGAACTCAGATCATGTAGGACTTTAATTGTTGAACAAATGAACCATTAATAGCAGTTACAGCATTTGGGGATCCTGATACAACATCGAGGTCATAAACCTACTGTTGATATGAACCATAAAGCAGCTCTGCACTGTTATGCCCAGAATAACTGGTTCTGTTCACCAGTTACTCGGTCAATTAATGATTTGATAACTTTAACTTTGTTTGGGTGAATTTTATCCTTCAAACATTTGTTTAAGCTCCAAGGTCACTCAACCAAAATTTTTAACCCATAGTTTATTAGCTCTAGTAGAGATTATAAATAAATATATTCTGTGGATTAATTAATTAAGCTCCATAGAGTCTTCTCAACTTATTTTAAAATCCCTGCTTCTTCATGGGGAGGTCAATTTCATGATCACAAGTAATAGGCTTAAAACCTCAGTCACTCATACAAGTCTCTATCTAAGAAACAAATGATTTTGCCTCCTTTGCAGAGTCAGGATACTGTACCTGTTAAACAGATAGCACTGGGTAGGCAATGACTCTAATACTTTTAATGCTAGATGTTTTGGGCAAGCAGGCAGGGTTTTTGTTCCTTTTAATTTTAAAATATTTCCCTGAGTACAGACCTGTGTTGGGTTAATAATATAATTAATAAAAAATCTGGTAGTTCAAGTTAAACGTGTGCAAATTCTGTGTGCAAGGGCCATGTCTTC